CTTTGATTGAGAAAATGCAGGTGGGCCTGAGCTGAGGCCCCCTGGGTCTCTGGCCCAAGATCTGCCCCAGGGTGGCCGAGGTCACTGCACCCACCTCAAGGGAAGGGGGAGGTGTGCGTGGGGCCAGGGCGCCTGCCTCCTCAGCGGTGCCCCTGTGTCCCCATGCACTCCCTGCACCCCAAGTTCCCGGAGGAGAGGGGAGCTGGGAGCCACCAAAGGGCGCACGGCCCCTTTCCCAGCCAGGCCGTGCCTGAGCCAGGAAAAAAGAGGGGGACGCAGAGACAGGCAGGCGGGTTTCTCAGGCGCCACCGAGGCGCAGTTCAGAATCCAGCCATTTATAGTGGAGAGGAAGCGAGCCTGGCTTGGGGCGATTCCCAGGGCGGGCTCGGCCTGCGTGTCCCTCCGCCTGGATGCCCTGGGGCCCCTCTTGCCGGACAGGGCAGCTTCCTGCCGTGAGGATGGGCGAGCTTCTCTGACTTAAAGCCCAGGTTAAAAACCACAGACTTTAAACTTTCTGGAGCTCTGTAAAGGGCCAGCCCCTCGGGGACAGTGACAATCGCCTCCCCTCCTCCCCGCAGCCCGGACCCTAGGTTACTGCTCCCCGAGCGCCGGCTGGGTTTCCTGCCACCGCCTGGGCCGCCCCGTCGGCCGCCGGGCCCTTCCCGGGATGCCGGCGCTCCCCTAATCGGAGCCGGGCGCGCCGATGGTACGTCCCGGCCCGCCCAGGTGGTAGCGCCCGCGCCGGCCTACCGTAATTCCCCTACGCCCAGGGCCCCCCGCCGGCGCAGAGCGACCGAGCCTGCCCCGCCCTGCCCCTCCCCAAAGCTCTGGGCCCCCTAGCCCTTCGCGCCCCCCAGAGAACTGGACAATTTTGGCCCGAGTTCCAGCTACAGGGGAGGAGACCCAGGTCCCTAGGTGAGTCTCACCGGGAAGCTGCGATCAGGACGGGGGCGGGTCTTTGCGCTGAGGCTCCCTCTAAGTTAATGGACAGAACCCGGAGTGGAAAGTCCCGCGGAGTCCCAGGCCCACAGGTGGGTAGGATGGGCGCCACTGGCTCTACCTCTGCGGGTGGAATGGGTCCAAGCCCCTGCCCGCGCCCCAGTGATTCGAGGATGTCATCGGCTCCAAGATAGGCCGTGAAGAGCCTGTGGAGCCCCAGCCCTGGGGGGTGAGGTTTGTAGCTCGGAGGAGCGTCATCGCTGGGCGGTTAGGAGGCTCCGCGGACCCTGCCCCATTTGGGCGTCTCAGTGGGTCTCAGGCAGAAAGTCCTCTGGAGGCCGGCAGGGGGCGAGAGTGCGTGTCCGGCAGTGGAGTGGCTGGGGGCATATGGCAGGGGAGAGACGGGGAGAGAGGACAGCAACTCAGGAGAGCCCTGCCGGCCGGAACCAAAGGCCGGGAGATGGAGGCCGGGGTCCCTGGGCCCTAAAGACTCCTCAGGAACTTCCCCCAGGCTCGGGGACTTGAGGCAGATTTTACTGTTCCTTTGCCTCTTGGCCAGGGTCTGGGCACACATTCGGACCCAAAAGCCATCAATAGAAAGAAAATTCTAGAGAACTGGCCCGTGCCCTCTTTGCACAGATGGGTAAGGGCAGAGTGAGGTGGGCCCCAGGCGCCGTCTTCAGCAGCCCAGGCACATGCCCTCTCCCCCACCCCCTGCCCCCGTTTCCCTGCCAAGGAGCCTTCCCTCTGGCACTGGAGAACGGTGCTGGGGAAGGCGCTGGCTGCGATGCCAGCGTCCCAGGCTCCAGGGTCAGTCACACTTGTGCTGGGGCAGGGCAGGGGACCACGGCTGTTGCCTCTCCTTGGCACTGGGTCCCCGCCAGACTGGGGAGGAGGGGGCCTTGCTGGCTTGGGGGCCTGTGCGGTGGGCCTGGCCGTGGACAGGTTCTCTACGCTTCTGCCATGTGCCCAGCTCACGGCAGGGCTTTAGGGCAGGCTCTGCCTCCAGGTGGCCCTCGCGCCCAGAGGACAAGGGTGAGGCCCCGACCGAAGGGAAGGGTGGGGCTGGGCAGGCCGCTGGGAATGAGGCGAGCAGCCTGGCAGAACTGGCCCGGCCCTGGCTGGCCTGCCCACGCATGCGGCCTCCACCCCTGGATTTCCGTGGTGCCGGATGGGGCCCCGGGGCCAGCTTGCTCCCCGGGGCGCGTAGCCCGGGTGGGAGCCTTGGGCAGGGGTGTCCCTCCAGCAGGGAGCCCCAGCTGCTGACTCCACTGAGGGCAGAGTGCAGAGCGGGCCCCAGACCCTGCTCCATACCCGCGTGCTCCGGGGCAGAGAGCTCCCTGTCCCACTGCAGACCAGGCGGGGCCACAACCACTGTGGGGGTGGCAGTGCCCACAGGCCACTCTCTCTCTTTCTGGGGCTGGGGGAAATGAGAGGGGGCTCCTGCCTTGGAGACTCCATTATTCATCAGCCCCAGCATCTGGTTTCTGGGTATCAGTTTCAACAAGCCGGCCCTGACTCAGGGGCCTGGAGCAGGGGCTGGGCTGGGGCGGGGCTGGGGAGGGCCCCTCCCCAGCAAGTCAGAGGCTGGGACCTCTCTGGCCTGCTGCAGGGCATGGACTATCTCAGCTCTGTCTCCCAGAGAGGAGGGGGTGGGGACCAGGAACCTGCAGAGGGCTCCTCCCTCCCCTGGCGCAGGCAGGGCCTCCTGTCCTCCCCAGCTCTGTTGGCTCCTGAGCTCTGCACACTGGGCCCTGGGACAGCAGGGCCCTGGCCCTCTAGGGGGAACCCCCACCCTGACTGGAGGACCAAGCAGGAGCGTGATTCAGGGATGGCCAGGGCCTGCTCACTCAGGTGACTTCCAGTGACCTGCCCCAGCCCAGCCTTGGTGGTCTCTGATCTGACCTTGTTGCCCCAGGTCAGTGGGTTCCCCTAAGCTGGCTTTGGAAGACACCTTGTCCTCAAGGGGGCGGGCCCCAAGGCACTGCTGCCAGAACTGCCACTCAGCTGTGCCTGGGACAGGGAGAGGTCCAGAGCCCGGGCGCTCATTTCCTACTTACTAGCTGGTGGCTTTGGGGCGAGTCCCTTCACCTTTCCAAGCCTCTGTTTCTTGACCTGTTAAACGGGGACAGTAACAGCATCTCCTCCCCAGGATCTGGGAGAAGAGTGAGCAGGATCTGCTGCTCCAAACTCCTGGGACAGGCCTTGCTCTTGGGAGGGCTCAGCGCTGGCCTATGGGGTAGTAGCGGGGGCAGGGATCGTGTGCAGAGCCACCGGGATTTGATGTGGAAACCGACCTGCCCCAGCCAGCAGGCGAGCCTGTGGTCGGGCAGGGGGCCTTGTTGACTGTTGGCCGCAGGAAGGGACGTCCTCGCTGAGACCTTCCCTGCCCCAGTGGCCTTCTCTGGCGTGAAGGCCCTCCCTCGGCTGCTTCACGCGGTCACCATCAAGTCCGCCCTGAGCCCCTCGCATGCGCTGGGACTGGTTAAGTGTCGAGGGTGCAGGATGGGCCAGACAGCCAAGACCCTGGCCTCGGGGGCGGGTGTGCTAGCAGGGGAGGCGGTGGGCAAGCGAGCTAAGAAGTAAAGTAACTTCAGGTGGTAAACACTTAGGAGGGAAGAATTCACTTTCAGAGATCTGAGAGTAGGAGGGTGAGGGGCTATTTATTTTGTGAGGAGGGTGAAGGCCCCCTGGGGAGGTAGCATTTAAGTTGGGGCGCATTGCCAGCCGTTGGGAGATCAGAGGCCCATGGTGTTCCAGACAGCGGACCCAGACGTGCAGGCGCTGTGCTGGGGAGGCGGCTCGCAGTGGGGGGGGGGGGGGGGGGGAGGCCAGCGTGCCGGGCCACCGTATGGGACTCGCTGGCCAGGAGGGGAGGTGGCAGCCAGGCTGTGCTGTGATTTTATTCTACACTATTGGAGAAGTTCAAGGGGGGTATGGGGGAGGTTCCGTGATCGATCGGACTTCACTTTTCCAATGCTTGTGGTATGGACGGGGAAGGAGTCGGGCGCGGGAGTGGAGGCAGCGCCTGGAACCTCCCAGCCCTGGTGAAATTGCCGCCTTCCTCAGGGCCATCCCCAGAGGCGACCCCTCCTCAACCTCGCTCCCCAGGGCCACACTGAGGAGGAGCTGTCTAAGGGGTGGGCAGCCGATGACAGCATGGTCCCCTTGCCCCATGGGTGCCGGAGTGTCCCGAAGAGGCCATTCCAGAACCTCAGAGTTAGAAGCCTAGATTCTAGCCCTGCCTGTGGACTCGTATGTCCCTTTATCCCCCACGCGATGGGAATGAGAGTAAAAGAGCTTTGACACGGCTGCTACAGTGGGGACCCCAGCACCATACCCCACCCTGGTGGGCCTCCTCTGGGCCCCGACTGGCGCCCCCTGGCGGTGGGGCGCGCGGACGCACCCAGTGGGAGCAGCTGGGACCTCCAGGATCGCCAAGTTGTGCTGCGGGGTTTTCCTGACCCCTCTCACCCCACTCCTGGGGCTCCCAAAGGAATACCTTCCCCGCCCTTTCCGCCCAGAGCCTCCGCCCTCCCCCTGCGCCTCCACCTGTGGTTACCGGGCCTTCCCCGCCTCCGCCTTGGGCGCCGGCCTGGGCAGGAGGAGCAGGGTCTGCGCCCCAGGCTGCGAGGCGGGGTCTCTGGCGCCGCCGCTTGATGACCCTCGGGAGGCCCTCTGAGCGCCGGATGTGCGGCTGGGCAGTCTGAGGTCAGAGCTGAGAGGGGTGTCCCGGGTTGGACGGGGAGCGGGGTCTGAACACCGAGGGGGACTATGTCCCTGTCCCCTCTCTTCTGCCGCAAGCACTCAGGAGCTCCCCCAGGAGGAGCAAGTCCAGGGGGCCACTTGGTGCCCGGGTCGGGGCTGGGGGTCGGCGCGGAGGCCCGGGCTGGCGGAGGCGGAGCCAGACCCCGCGGGTGGGATGGGTGTTCCCGCCCCCCGCCTCCCCCCCACCGTCGCTCCCGCCGGGGTCCCAGGCTCGGCTGGGGCGGGCACGCCGCACAATGGCAGGAAGCAGGGCTCCGCGCTTTGTCCGGCGGGCGGCGCAAACCGCCGCTTCCTCCGGCCGCCATGGGGACGGGTCCCGGCGTCTCCGGGCACCGTGCGACCTCCAGGCCCAGCCCTGGGGTGCCCTCCCGGGACTCTGCGCCCTACTGGGCGGGAGGGCACGCCCGCGACCGGGAAGGCCAGGTATGGGGCACGGGGAGCCGGGGCGGGGCAGGGCACGTCTCCAGGGCGGGATGGGACACGCAGCGGCCGATCCCCCTGTCTGGGCGCACACCGTGGAGGCTGGGGCCCTGAAATGGGTGTCCCCACCCCGCCGCCGAGGGGGCCAGGCAGCAGAGGTGAGTCGACCACCCTGGTCTTTTGTGTCTGGGGCTGCCTCCGGAAACACCTGTGGGTCCCGGGGCCAACCCTCCCCTTTCCCTTCCTCCGCCCAGGCCTGTCACACCCCTTTTCGCCTGCCTCTGGCCCCCCCCCCCCCCGCCCTTGGGTGAGGGGGGAAGCCACTTCCGGTGCAGGGCATCCTTGTAGGGCAGGGCCTTGACCGTGCTTCCCCAGGGCCCCCTCTGTGTTTGTAAAGCCCTGGTCCATTCGCTGCCTTTTGAGACGCTGTGACCTGGCTGTTGGATTGTGTGGGCTCTCCATTCTCTGGATTGAATCTGGGAACGATGGTTCCTGGACTCCCGATGCCCCTCCCCCACTGCCCTCAGAAGGTGGGGGTGGTGGGCAGCAGGCCCCTGGGTCTGAGAGGAGGGGTCCGACGTAGCGCCCTTTGGCTCCGGGGAGGCCCCGCCCCTGGAGCAGGCTGTAGGAGACCCTGGGGCTTGGCCAGGGAGATGGGAGGAGGGGTTGGGGAGCAGACATGGGAGGGAGCTGTGCCCACCCAGGGGGCTCTGGTTCTCCCTGGGGGTTCCCGGAACCTCAGCCTCAACCGGACCTGTTGGATTAAGTGGGGGTCGTAGGCCTGAGCCTGGGGGCTTCAGGGCGATGGAGGCAAGGCGGCGGGCAGGCTGGGCCCTGGCCCATCGTTACCGGTAGTGCCTGTCTTAGTAGGGCTGGTCGTGGGAGGCAGAGGTGCTGTGGTGGCGGCCGCACCGAAGCCGCCACGGTGCTGGGAAAGACCTTCCTGAGTGTCCCCAGGGAACCCGGTGCCGCCACAGGGTGGGCACTAATAGGTGCTCACTAAATATTGCATGAATTCTGAATCTGCTGTAAGAAGTGAATCTTACCTGTAAGAAGTGTAAAACCTGCCATCTACATACTTGGTATAACAATGAGATTGTGGCACAGAACTGGGGACTTGGTGTGGGAGGGTCCCAGAGACGCTCCGCAGGACCCCTGCCACCTGGCGTGGTTCCCGCCCCGTCACCCCCCACCCACAGTGAGGCCAGGGCTGGGTGGCTGGGAGCCTGGCTCGGCAAACGTGGCTGCGGGGGCGGCCCCGAGCGGCCTGGTGGGGGCTGGAGGGGGCGCCTGTGCCAGGCCGGACTCCGGGGGCGAGAGGCTTGCAGAGCGGGCCGCCGGCAGGGCCGTGGGAAGGAGGGCTGACAGGCGGGGGCCTTCCCCAGATTCACTGTCAGGAGAAGGTGCTTGGAGCTGGGGTGGGGGCGGTCCAAGACGCTGCAAAGCCAGACCCTCTGTGAGCTGTCGGCGTGCCCTGGGGACCTGGGGAGGGGGGCGGGCAGGCAGCGCTGCGGCTGAGGATGGCGGTTTTCACACTTGATTCAGATGAAGAAGACAGGACGGGCTTCTTTGGCCGAAGGGAGCCCCTCAGCGCTGTCTCAGAGCCTGAGAACATGTTGAAGACCCCAGGGAGAGGGTGTGGGAGTGGGGACACCGGGCACTCGGGCCGCCGTGGGGCACCCAGGCCACAGTGTCTGCGCTTCCTGTCCCGGGCCCGGGGCCCCCAGAGCAAGTGTCCTCCTCAGCCTGCCTCTTTCCTGCCTGACGGCTGAACTACCACCGGCTCCCTGCTGTCTCCACGGCCCCAGGCTGCGAGGCCCGCCCCCCCGCCCCCGCTGGGCGCTCTGTTCTCAGGCCCCCGAGAGATGGCGAGAAGGTGGCGGAAACCTGCCGTCTAGAGCCGCACTGGCTGGGCTCAGCCCTGGCTGCACCGGCTGTGTGACCGTAGGCAAGCTGCTTCACCTCCCTGAGCTTTGTTGTCCTCTTCTGTAAAGCAGGGGCGATCGGAGCCCCTGCTTCCTGGGTGAGGAGCCCCGAGAGCAGCCCCGGGCACACAGGCGGCCACATCATAAGTGTGGATGAGGCCTGTTCGGCCACCTCCGCCCTTCTCCCTTCGGCCACGGTCTCTCTTGTCCAGGCTCTCCTCACCCTGTCTGGCATCTTGAAAATTTCAGATGGGGTTCTCCACAGCCAAAAACTCTTCAGCGACCCTCCGTTGCCCGAACAATAGAAAAGTGTTTGTTGAGAGGGCAGGGCGGCAGGAAGGGCAGCGCGTGGGGTCCTCGCAGGGCGGACAAGGTGTGGCGGTGACAGGGTAAAACACGCAGGTGTGGGGTAGAGGGGAGCGCCACGGAGCGGGAGGGGGCAGAGGGCAGGTGGTTAGGGGAGCCGAAACGCTGGAAGGGCCGCAGGGTGAGTGCAGTGAAGATCTGCAGGGCGGAGCCCGTCCTTCCGTATCTGGGGAAAAGCGTTTCAGGCCGAGGGGCTCGCAGATCCAAGGCTCAGAGCGGGGAGTGTGCCTGAGGGTCAGCGAGTCGGGGCAGGAGGTCAGGAGGGGGGCAGGGGGAGGCCCCCCAAACCCACATACTTGAGTGACAGGGAAGGCCCCTGCAGGTGTCTTTGAGTAGGTACCTGTGCCCCCTCTTTGAACGGGGTCCACTCTGGTCTCTTGGAGGACAGACTGGAGGGCGGGGCGGAATCGGGGAGCCGGGAGCCGGTCAGGAGGCCATTGCTGAAATCCAGCTGAGAGGTGGGAGGCCCGGCGGCTGGGGCCTGGGGACAGTGCCGGCTGGGGAGGCTGGAGAGCGTGGCCCGCCTGGTTGAAGCTACAGATAGTAAAGGTGGAGAGTTTTCACACTGGCTGGGTGGGGGTGGAACAGAAAGGTCGGAGGTGACCCCACGATGTTCGTCCTAATGTATGAGTCTCCCAGGGCTGCCGTCACAAGCTGACACCAGCTGGGTGACTTCAGAGCAACAGAAGTTTGTCCTCGCAGCTCCGGTGGCTGCAGGCATAGGCAGGGCGGTGCGCCTCCAGGGCTTGAGGACAAGGCCGTCCTTGCTCTTGGGGAGGTGGGGGGCCCAGGTGCTCCTTGGCCTGTAGATGCGTCACTCCCTTCGCTGCCTCCGATGTCACATGGTCTTTTCCCTGCGTCTCTGTCTCTCCATATTAGGACACTAGTCGTATGGTTACTCCGTAGTCTATACTCTGTGATTATAGACTCCAGGATGACCTCATATTAACCTAATGACAGGGCAACGACCCTATTTCCAAATAAGGTCCCATGCTGAGGTTCCAGGAGTTAGAGCTGAACCTGTCTTTGTGCTGGACACCGGCCCCTTACAACTAGAAGGCCTTGGATTGGTCGAGGTGGTTGGGTTGACGGAGATAGTTGAGCGGCCTGGAGAAGCTGGGAGTCTGCGTGCAGAAGTTGGGGTGCTCGTTAGACTCCAGGGAAGAAGGGAGGAGGGCGGTCTGGCCTGAGGTCGAGGTCCTGCCCAAAGATGTAACCCTGGGAGCCCTCGGCGTCTGGGTGGTGTTCCCAGTCCTGAGACCAACTGAGTCACGGGATGAGGGTGTGGGTGAAGGTGAGAAGGGGTCCGCGGGTGCGGGTGGGAGGTGAGCAGGGAGCCCGCTGAGCGTGGGTCCGGGGCACCGAGGTAGAAATGGTGTCAGAGAGACCACCGATGGCAGGTGCTGGGTCCCGTGAGAACAGACAAGGGGCCTTAGACGCGGGGAGGCTGGTGGGAGAAGGGCGAGTTTGGTGTGGGACGGGCGGGGGCACGGACTTGAGGGAGAGGGTCTGAGAGACGCGGGGCGAGTCGGGAGTGCCCAGGTCTGCCGTCGCGATGGCAGCTGGCTCAGGCAGGAGTCTCGGATGAATGCTGCCGCCCGGGGTGTGCGACCGGTGGGGGAGGGGTCCTTCAGAGTGTCACCCCACAGATGACGTATTCATTACACAGAGAAAAAGGGGTTTTGCAAAGGACCTGGCGCTGTGGGTGCTCGGAAGTCACACAGCTCTCTGTGTCCCTGCCCAGATGCCCAGCCTGCCACGCCCGCGGTCCCCAGACAAGTCCACCTGGAGGGGCTTCCTGCCAGACCATTGGCTCGGGCACTTGAAAACTCTCAAATGTCACGAAAAACAAACAAAAAAAGTATCGGGGTGTTCCTTTTTTTCTTTTAGTATAAAGATTTTATTTATTCTAGAGAGAAGGTGAGGGAGGAAGAGAGATTGAAACAGTGAATGGTTGCCTCTCGTGCCCCCTACTGGGGACCTGGCCCCCAACCCAGTCATGTGTCCCACCTGGGAATGGAACAGGTGACCTCGGTTTGCAGGCCAGTGCTCCATCCACTGAGCCACACCAGCCAGGGCTTGGGGCATTTATTCTTAAAGGAATAACCAGATGCAACCAAACTCGTGTGTGAACCTCGATTGATTGGCTCCTGAACGGGAAAAACATCGACTTCTGCGGCTGGGAAAATGCAGAGCTAGACTCTCCCCGGACTGGGCACCGTGTGCAGGGAGCGGCGGTGGCATCGGGTTTTGTAGCACGTTCGCGCTCCTAGGGGACCTCTGGATTTCTGCTCCGGGGGCCGGGTAACGCGAGAGCCAGTGTGGCAAAATGTGAACAAGCGGGGCAGCAGGAAGCGTGTGTGGATGTCGTTGTGCTGGTTGTTCAGCGTTCTGTAGGTCTGAAATATTTTCAGACGTGAAGCTGGGGAAGAGAGAGGAACGAGAGGAGAGGCTGGGAGGGCGTGCGGAGGCGCGGAGGCCTGGTTCAGGGAGTGCGGCTGCAGGGCAGCCGTCCCCGGCTTTCTGGCACCAGGGACCGGTTTCGTGGAAGACAGTTTTTCCACGGACGGGGGTAGGCGGGATGTTTTGGGGATGATTCAAGAGCATTCCATTCGAGCCTACCTCCCGCTCTGCGGCCCGGTTCCTGACAGGCCCGGATCGGAACCGGTCCGCGGCCCAGAGGTTGGGGACCCCTGCGGTAGAGGAAGCGGGGAGGCAGAGCGCAGCTGAGATGGAGAGGAGACGCGTTGGTATGTGGATGGGAGAGGCAGCCCGAGGACGGAGGAGAGGGCACGTGCCGCGTCCTGTCCCCCGCCTGTCCCCACACCCCGGCCAGAGGGGTGTGGGTCTCGGGGGTAGGCCGGCTTTGGATTGGGGCGGGGCCAAGCCCCCCACAGCCCCGGGCAGGTGGGCGGACGTGGTGGGGGCGGGGGCTCACGGGCCCTCGGCGTCTGATGGCTTCCGTTTCTCTAGAAAAGTAGGAAGCGGGGTCCCGGGGGTGGGCCGTGGGCGGTCGGGGGACGAAGGAGCAGATGGGAAAGTCGTGTGTGGCGGTCGGGGAGAGGTAGGCCTGGGCAATAAGGTAAATCGGGGACCACGTCCGTAAGCAACCGCAGGGGAACCCAGACATCCACACCTGCCCCCGACGCCTCTGTACCCGCTTCCCACCTGACTTTGGGAGCTGGGCAGGGTTGGCTGTTCAGGGGCAGACAGGTCCCCAAGCCGAGGGCGGAGGCTCCGAGGGGGGCGGCGGGAGGGCCGTTCAGGCCGAAACAGCATGCGGGCCAAACCGAAGTTCACTTCTGGGCGTCCTTCCTGCCCACGCTCCAGGAGGCGGCCCTGGCCGCGCCCGCCTGGTGGCCACTCCCCCCCAGAGAGCAAGCCTGCCCCTTGGCACCGCGTTCCTGGGCAGAGCTTGCTTTTCCCCTCATCCCTTGGGATGGACACACGGTCGTGCTTGTGAAACGCTTGTGGAGAGAATTACTGAGCGCGAGGCGCTGCGTCGGGGGAGGATGGGTGGAAGTGAGCAGCCCCTGAGGGCCCGGGAGCCGGGCCGGGGGCCTGCGGGGGTCTGGGCCGCAGCCCCGCGCACCTCCTGTCCCTCGCCCCGCAGGTATGCCACCACACAGATTGCCAGCAGCTGCACCACCGGGGACCCCTCAACCTCTGCGCGGCCTGTGACAGCAAGTTCCACAGCGCCATGCACTACGACGGGCATGTCCGCTTCGACCTGCCCCCCCAAGGTGAGCACGCATCGGGGCCCCCGTCCGGCCCCCGGAGTCCCCAGGGTTGTTCCGGAATCCCTGTCTGGGGGCACAGTGTCTTGGTTACTGTTGGACCCGTGACAGGAGCGTCAGAAGGACAAGAGTCCACTGTCAATGATGAAACACAAGTACGGTTCAGTCCCTTTTGTTCCACAAGTTTCTTCACGGGAGAAAAGGCTGGGGACTGTGCCCCACCTTGGGAGCAGACCCATCTCTGCTGGGGGTGGGTCTGCACCTCCCCCCGAAGGCCCTGCCCCTGGATGGGGGCCAGTGTGGGGAAGGTCCCCTTCTTCTTGTCCTCGGGCAGGGGACTTCTGGACAAACCTTCCAGCCAGGAATAGAGGCAGTGGGGGCGGGGGGCAGGTCAGAGGAACTTGTAGCAGGAAACAAGAAACCCCTCTGCTGAATAGGGACCTGGCCCAGGCCCACCGCCAACTGGCTGTGCTGGGGTGCCAACGCTTTGTCTTCTTTCTCAGCTGGTCAGAGGCACAAAAGACTGCCCCTCTGCCAGGGCCTCCTGGGACTTTGGGTGTTGTCACCGGGGTGGGGGTGGGGAGGCCCGAGAGAAAGCCGTGGACCTCGGTCCCTTCCTGCCACAATCCCAGGGCCGGCTTCCTCGTCCCTATCTCGTAGAGCGGTAAACTGAGGCTGAGGAGGACTTGTATGGGGAGCAGGGCAGCCCCTGCTGTGTCCTCTCAGGGTCCCCGTGTGTTTTTGAGTCGGGGAATAAACAGATGATAAGCGACAACTGAGCCCCTCTCCTCACAGGCCAAAGGGCCTCTGCTCGCTGCGGGGCACAGGGTCAGCAGCGGGCAGTGGCCCCTCTAGAGAGGGGCGTGCTGGGAGGCTGAGGAGGGCCAGGGAGGGAGCAGGCACATCCCCACCCCCACTCTACTCCAAAGGCTCCGTCCTGGCCCGGAACGTGTCCACCCGATCATGCCCCCCACGCACCAGCCCTGCAGTGGATTTGGAGGAGGAGGAGGAAAACTCGATGGATGGCAAAGGGTAGGTGAGGGGCGGGTGGGCAGAGAAGACCCCTGAGGGGCCCCAAGGCTGGGTCTCAGATCGGAGATCCAGGCACCAGAGGCTTCAGGTGGGCTGACTGGAGACCCCTCCCTGTGCCTGGGGCTGCCCTGGCCAGCCTCCAGGGCTTCACCTGACCAGGTGCCACTGGGTGTGAGTCCTGCGCTGGCCACCAGAGGGCGCACAGTCCCGTCGCCGGCTGGCCTGTCTGACTGCTCCAGTTACTTGGTCACCTGGGGTGATTGAGGTGTGGGAGGCCAGCCAGGGCCCACTCAGAACACACTCTGGCAAGGAGCCACTGTGCCTCCAGCCTCTGTCCTCACCGGCTTCCCTGCAGGGACCGGAAGAGCACAGGCCTGAAACTCTCCAAGAAGAAAGCCAGGAGGAGACACACAGACGTAAGGAGCCCAAGGGCCGGCAAAGGGGCCGGACAGCCTCTGCCTCCCCCAGGCCCTTTCCTTCCCTCCCGAGAGGCTGGGCCTGCCTGCCCTGAGCCCCAGGACCGGGGATGGGCCCCGCATGTCCCTCCCGAGAGGCCGGAGGGACGCCAGTGGCCTCCCTGGGACAGAGGCGGGCCGGCGGGCCCCTGCCTTCTCTCCCCTCCTGGACCATGGGGTGGGGAGGGCGGGGGACAGGGGCACGGAAGCTGAGACCCACGTCCACTCAGGACCCAAGCAAGGAGTGCTTCACCCTGAAATTTGACCTGAATGTGGACATCGAGACGGAGATCGTCCCGGCGGTGAAGAAGAAGTCACTGGGGTAGGGCTTGGTGGGCCTGAGTGTGGGCGTGGGCAGTGGGCAGGTCCAGTCCCCTGTGGAGAGGAGTGTGTGTGTCTGTGTGGTGGCCTGTGAGCCTGTCCCCACCTGCGACGGACCCTCGTGGCCCGAACGCCAGCCTGAGGGAGCGTGCGACCGGGCCTGCGCACCTGTGTATGTTTTCCTTCCCTGTCTGCATGGCCCGGTCCCGGGGTGTGGCCCGCCTGTGATTGTCTGCCCTAGTGTGCAGACAGGAGTGTGTGTAAACACGTGCAGGACACACCTCTCTGGACAGGAGTGTGTGTGCGGCATGTACCTGGGTGTCTGTGTACCTGTGTGACCCCGTGGGTGTCTCCCTTTTCCATTGGGAAGGTGGGGGAGAGGGGAGCTGGGGTTGTGGCTAGGGTGGGGGTTTGTGTGGCTGACCCCTAACAGACACAGCTCCCGTCCTGGAACAGGGAGGTGCTGCTGCCCATATTTGAAAGGAAGGGCATCGCACTGGGCAAAGCGGACATCTACCTGGACCAGTCCAACACACCTCTGTCTCTTACCTTTGAGGCCTACAGGTTCGGGGGACACTACCTGCGGGTCAAAGGTAAGTGGCTGGCTGGGCGATAGAGGGGCTGGGGCCTGGCCAGGCCTCCTGGAGGTGAGTGCAGTGCCCCAGGCTCAGGTTCCCCTTGGCCCTGGCCTTGAGCAGGCTCATTACCATACAGGTGTCTCTCTGGGGCTGTGGTGGGTGTGGCCAGTGCTGGCAGGGCGGAGTTTCAGGGAGGGCAATGAGGCCTCGGTTTGGATCCTTGGGGGAGAGAGAACAGCCCCCCACACCGGACCTCCATGTTGAGGACCTCTCCTTGTCCCCTAACGCTGCCCTAGCCAAGCCAGGGGACGAGGGGAAGGCGGAGCAGGGAGTGAAGGACCCCAAGTCCCTGAGTCTGCCAATCCTGAGGCCAGCCTGCCCCCCGGCGCTGGAGCGCATGGACCCGCAGAGCCGCCGGGAGAGCCTGGACATCCTGGTGAGGGGGAGGGCCTCAGGAAGTCGGCTGGGCCCCTCACTGCTCTCTCTTGGGGCTATAATCTCCCGTTCCGGAAAATGAGGCTGGCTCTGAGAATCGGGGGCCCGCTGGGTCTCAGGCGGTGGGTCTGTCTCCAGGAGTCTGCTTGGTGCCCGGAGAGCATATGCATGGGTCGTGCTTGTGTGTGTCCAGGCAGTTGCTGGGGGAGGCGGGACTTCACGTGTCACTGGCTGTGTGTGTGTGTGGTGGGTCCTCTCGGAGCTGTACTTTTAAGCACATGTGACTGTGAGTGTGTGTGTGTGTGTGTGTGACTCTCCACACATACTCCGGGCTTGTGACCGGGGTGGGGGGCTGTGGGGGCCAGGGTGGGGCTGGTCTTGACTACTCCTCCCTGGCCAGGCCCCTGGCCGCCGGCGAAAGAACATGTCGGAGTTCCTGGGGGAGGCAAGCATCCCTGGGCAGGAGCCCCCCACGCCTTCCAGCTGCTCTCTGCCCAGCAGCGGTGGCAACGACAGCTGGAAGAACCGGGCCGCCAGTCGCTTCAGCGGCTTCTTCAGCTCAGGCCCCAGCACCAGCACCTTCGGCCGGGTATGCGGTCCCGTGGGCCTTGGGTCAGGGCAGCGGGTTGGCCCTGACCCCTGACCCTGACCCTGACCCTGGTCTCCTCCCAGGAGGTGGACAAGATGGAGCAGCTGGAGAGCAAGCTGCACGCTTATGGCCTCTTTGGGCTGCCCAGGCTGCCCCGGAGGCTGCGCTTTGACCACGACTCCTGGGAGGAGGAAGGGGATGAGGAGGAGGACGAGGATGACGCCTGCCTGTGGCTGGAGGACAGCTGGCGGGAGCTCATTGACGGACACGAGGTGGGTGCCGCCACAGCCCCCTCCTCCCTCTTGTGGGGAAAGGGGGACATTATCCCTCCACTTGGTGGGACCCTTCTGAGGGCCCAGTGACAGGATGTTCTGCAGGACAGCCCTGTCAGGCCGCTGTCGTTAGCCCACTCTGGGGAAACCGAGGCGAAGGGAACCCTCCATGTGTCCTGTAGACGTCTTGTTGGCAGAGGAGGGCCCAGAACTTGGGGGGCCTCTGTGTCTCCACTGGGGAAGGGAACCTCCATGCAGGGGTGCTCACCCTGCCCCTCCCTGGCTGCCCCTGCTCTTCCCACAGAAGCTGACCCGGAGGCAGTGCCACCAGCAGGAGGCGGTGTGGGAGCTCCTGCACACGGAAGCCTCCTACATTAAGAAACTGCGGGTGATCACTAATGTGAGTAGGGGGCCACAGGGCCCAGGGCCACCCCACTGCCTCCCCTGGCCTCCTCTGGGCATCCCCGAGCAGTTTGGGCCTTTGCAGAAGGATCAAAGGGCAACAAAGGGGAAGGAAAACCAGAGGAAGGCTCTGCCCTGGGCTGGAGGTGGTTCCCACGCCGGAGCACAGGGGACAGGGCTTCCGGTAGGTTTGGTGGGTGGAGCTGAATTAACACAGGCTTCATTCTTTAACTCCCTCATTCAACGGCTATTCCTGAGCACCTGCTGGGTGCAGGTGCCCAGCCGCCCACACCCTAGACGTGGAGACAGAGTGGGTAGGCACTGGGGAGTAGGGACTTTGACCTGGGGGGAGCACCTGTCCTGGGCTTGGAGGTTCAAGGAGGGCACCCCCTGAGCTGAAACTCAGAGGCTGAGCCAGGTCTGAGGAGGAGGAGAGTGTCCCAGGCCAGGCTGCAAGCTTTGCTCCAGCCAAGGCCTGGGCCAGGTGATCCTCTTTGTCCCAGGGGGCCTCAGGGCCTCCTGGGAGGATTAAGGGAGAGAGGGGAGCCTAAGAATCTGGGTGGGACGTCAGGACTGGGACCACCCCCTCAAGCTCAGTGCTTCCTACCCCTATAGCTGTTCCTGTGTTGCCTCCTGAACCTGCAAGAGTCTGGGCTGCTGTGTGAGGTGCGGCGGGGCTTTAGGGGTGGGGAGGGTACAGGAGCGGGCGGGCCTGGGCTTGGCGGGGCGGGGCGTCTGGGATGGGGAGGGGCTTAAGTGGGGGGTGGCGCTGGAAGAGAGCAGGACCAGCGGGGGCAGTGGGCCTGGGGCCCAGCCTGGCATCAGGGAGTAGGGGGGCGGGGAATAGGTGTGGAGTTGAAAGGGTGGGACGTACGGGGGCTGGGTAGGGGCAGGGTAAGGACGGTAGGCTGGGGGCGGGACCCAGCGCTCCTCCCGCTCCGCATTCCTCAGGTGGATGCGGAGCGTCTGTTCAGCAACATCCCCGAGATCGCGCGTCTGCACCGAGGGCTGTGGGGCAGCGTGATGGCGCCGGTGCTGGAGAAAGCGCGGCGCACACGGGCGCTGCTGCAGCCCGGGGACTTCCTCAAAGGCTTCAAGATGGTACGGGCTGAACATGGGCGCGGGTGACGGGAACAGGGCCGGGGAGCCTATCCCATCTGTCCGACACCCCAGCCTCCCTTGGACCAGTGGCTCCGCACGACCCCTAGTGGTCAGAGCCAAAGAGTTCCGAGTCGGTCACCCGGGTTTACCCCATCTGGCCGTCCACCTTGCTATCTGGCCGAGGGTGGTCACCCTCGCCAAGACTCAGTTTCCTCATATGGGAAATAGGGATAATAAGCGTGCCACCTGCTGGGGTGGTCGCAGAAGTGCAGCCAGGAAGAGCTGCGGCAGGGCCCGGCCCTCGGCGAGCACCGGGTAACCGGTGTTTCTTCCTCGCTGCGCCAGTTCGGCTCCCTCTTCAAGCCATACATCCGGTACTGCATGGAGGAGGAAGGCTGCATGGAGTACATGCGCGGCCTGCTGCGTGACAACGACCTCTTCCGGGCCTATGTCACGGTGAGGGCGGGGAGCGAGCTGATGGGCCGAGGCGAGGCGCAGGACCTGCACCCACCGGGGCGGCGCGGGCGGGGTGGTGGGCGTGGCCTGCCCTGAGCCCCGCCCCGCCGCCCCTCCTGCCGCAGTGGGCCGAGAAGCACCAGCAGTGCCAGCGGCTGAAGCTGAGTGACATGCTGGCCAAGCCCCACCAGAGGCTCACCAAGTACCCGCTGTTGCTCAAGTCGGTGCTGAGGAAGACGGAGGAGCCCCGAGCCAAGGAGGCCGTCGTCACCATGGTAACCGGGGCAGCGGGCAGGGTCCCTCGGAGGCTCGCAGCCCCTCCTTGGTGCTGAGCCTTCGTCCGCCCCGCAGATCGGCTCCGTGGAGCGCTTCATCCACCAGGTGAACACGTGCATGCGGCAGCGACAGGAGCGGCAGCGGCTGGCGGCCGTGGTGAGCCGCATCGACACCTACGAGGTGGTGGAAGGCAGCAACGATGAGGTGGACAAGGTGGGCGGCCTGGCCCCGCGGCGGGGGAGGGAGAGTGGGCCAGGCTGGCAGGCAGGGGCCATGCCGGAGCCTCGCATGAGGACTTCTAGCAGAGACGGAAGGTCAGCCCCTGACCTCTGCCACACCTATACGCCACCCGGCCCCCTCCTCCCACCAGCTCCTGAAGGAGTTTCTGCACCTGGACCTGACAGCGCCCATCCCTGGTGCCTCCCCCGAGGAGACCCGTCAGCTGCTGTTGGAGGGGAGCCTGAGGATGAAGGAGGGGAAGGACAGCAAGGTGACTGGGGGACACCCCGTACCCAGGGCCCGTGCCCTTCGCGTCCGTGTGCTGCAGGTGTGGCCCAGCCCTTCCTGAGCACCTCCTGGATATAGTCCGAGGTGCTCAGCTGCCCTGCCAGGTGGGCGGTTTGAGAGCTAATGACCTTGGGGTCACATCAGAGAGAATGATCTGCCTGCAGTTTCCCCTTTTTTTCCCCCTATTCCGGAACATAAAGCTCTTTCGAATTAAAGTATAGTTAACATGGAGTATTATACTAAATATTATTAATATAAATTAATATATTTATATTTATAACATAAATTAGTATGTTTATATTATAAATATAAAATATTATATTAAAGATGTGTAACATAGTAAGGCTTCATATTTATATGCCTTACAAAGTGATCACCACAAAAACTCCACTGTACAAAGTTACTGTGATATTATTGACTGTTCTCCGTGTTGTACTTTGCACCCCTGTGACTGACTTGTGTTCTAAGTTTGTCCCTCTTACTCCCCTTCACCTTTTTGCCCGCATCCCCACCACCCAACGCTGTGGCCACTATCAGTTTTTTTGTATCTGTGAGTCTTTTTGTTTTGTTTATTCATTTGTTTAGCTTTTTGGATTCCACGCGTATGTGAAATGCTGCATACGATATTTGTCTCTGACTTATTTCACTTAGCATAATATTCTCCAGGTCTGTCTGTGTCACACATGGCAAGATTTCATCCTTTTTCATGGCTGAGTGATACTGCAGTGCACGTCAGTATGCACATACACGTGCCCACACGTATCCACTTTTTTAAAAAAGGCTATTTTTAGACAGAGAGGGAGGAAGACAGAAGCATCCATGTGTGGTTGCCTCTCATGCGCCCCCTAGTGGCGACCTGGCCTGCAACCAAGGCACGTGCCCTGACTGGGGATCAAACCAGCAACCCCTCGGTTCTCAGGCGGGTGCTCAGCCCACTGAGCCACACCAGCCAGGGCTATGTATGTGCGCTGCTTTTTTATTCACTCATCTATTGATGAACACCTACTTTGCTTCCGTATCTTGGCTGTTGTAAATAATGCTGCCATGAACATGGTGCATGTATCCTTTTCAATTAGTGCTTCGTTTTCTTCAGATAAGGGCCCAGAAGTGGAGTTGCTGGGCCCTTCTTTGTCTCTCGTTATAGGCTTTGTTTTAAAGTCTATTTTGTCTGATACAAGTATTGCTCTCCCAGCTTCTTTTGTTGCTGCTGCTGTTTACATTTTCATGAAACATCTTTTCCTTCCCCTGACTTTTGGTCTGTGTGTGTCTTTCACCCTGGCGCCTCCCAAAGGCAGCATCCGTACGGCTCTTGGCTGTTTATGTATTTAGTCACCCTCTGTTCTTTCAATAGGGCACTTAGTCAGATTACCTGTGAAGTAATTATGGATAGGTACATACTTATTGCCATTTTGATTGTTTTCACACTGTACAGTATTTATAAGTGGTTGGTCTACTCTCTTCACTCTATGTTTGCCTTTACTAGTGAGGTTTTTTTCCTCACGTTTTCTTATTTCTAGTTTTGGCCTTTTCTTTCCTGTTTAAAGAGCTCCCTTTAACAACTGATTGATATTTCCCTCTCACATCAATATTTCTCTCCTGTTCTTTTTCCCTCCTGTCCCCACCCTTTAAAAATAAGTAAAATCTTTCATAAAAGAGAGAATTCCCTTTAACATTTTTTGTAACGCCGCTCTAACAGAGACGAGCTCCTTCAGCTTTTGCTTGTCTGGGAGAATCTCAACCTTTCCTTCGGTTCCGAACAATAAGCCTGCTGGGTGTCCTTGGTTGTAGGCTCTTTCCTTTCCTCGTGTGGAATGTATCGTACCCCTCCCTTCTGGCCTTGCCTGCACCTCACTCCTTACAAACTCGGCGGCAGGGTCACAGGCTGTCGGGTATCTGTCCGGCCCACTTGGTGCCATGTGGGTTCCTGGTGAGCCAGGGACAGCCCACCCCCTTGCTCCTGAGCTACATTAACCCTTGAGGCACCGAATAACCCAGGGCCTGCAAGGCATGCTTTTAAGATTACTTCCCTTTTCCTTTTTAACGTAAAGTTTTAATTGAAATAAGTCACAAGTATATAGCTTGATGAAAGAAAATTATCTTGCATTGCATTTTGATTTTGCTCTCAGGTTCATGGGGGTGGGCGGGGGCAGTGTGTGACAAGGCCCGAGCGCCCCCAGGGGAGCGTGTTGCCGCAGACGGGGCCCCAGGACCCCGGCCTTGACCCCTGGCCTCTCCTGCTCCCCCTCCTGCCCTCAGATGGACGTGTACTGCTTCCTCTTCACGGACTTGCTCTTGGTGACCAAGGCAGTGAAGAAGGCTGAGAGGACCAAGGTCATCAGGCCACCGCTGCTGGTGGACAAGATCGTGTGCCGGGAGCTGCGGGACCCCGGTGAGGAGCCCCGCCCCCTGCTCCCGGGTTGGGGCTGGGACGGGCAGGGGCCCTGGCCTCAGCTGACACTGATTTGAGCCCTTCCTAACTAGGCTCCTTCCTCCTCATCTACCTGAATGAGTTCCACAGCGCCGTGGGGGCCTACACGTTCCAGGCCAGCGGCCAGACTTTGTGCCGTGGGTGGGTGGACTCCATTTACAATGCCCAGGTGAGAGTAGAACGCGGGGTGGGTGGGTGGGCGGGGCAGCCTGGTGGGGCCACTGCGCACAGCCCGTTCTGCCCCACGCACCTCCACCCCCACCTCCACCTGCAGAACCAGCTGCAGCAGCTGCGTGCGCAGGAGCACCCGGGCGGCCAACAGCACCTGCAGAGCCTGGAAGAGGAGGAAGACGACCAGGAGGAGGACGAGGAGGAAGATGAGGAGGACGAGGAAGGTGGGGAAAGCAGCACTTCGGCTGCCAGCTCCCCCACCATCCTGCGCAAAAGCAGCAACAGCCTGGACTCCCAGCACTGGTATGCGAGCCCAGGACCACCCAGTGGGGGCCCAGGCGGGTTCTGTCTTCCACCACCGTCTGTCCAGGCGGGACTGGCAGACGATTTTCAACTTGACCACCTACTCAGGGTCATTAGTAGCTGCCAGGAGCCAAGCTGAGGACTCTCAGACTGTATCCAGCAGGAAAGAGCTCTGTGGTGGGGACAGATGCCATTGCTGGTGTCTGTTGTGGGCCCAGGAGTCGGGGAATCTGGGGCACCTGCCCCACATTTGCCACCTCTGAGCCTTGCGTGCGGGGAGGACGGGGTTGTGGACCGCTGCGTTGCCTGGCACAGGCTGCAGCAGGCCGGCCGGGTGTCCTGGGCCTGGGCTCACTTTCCCCTCCCGGCCCCGCAGCGCCTCAGACGGCTCCACAGAGACCCTCGCCATGGTGGTGGTGGAGCCTGGGGAGACGCTGTCCTCTCCTGAGTTCGAGGGCGGCCCCTTCAGCTCCCAGTCGGACGAGACGTCTCTCAGTACCACTGCCTCATCTGTCACGCCAACCAGCGAGCTGCTGCCCCTGGGTCCCGGGGACAGCCGCTCTTGCTCCATCGACTCTGCCTACGGCACCCTCTCCCCCACCTCCCTGAGGGACTTTGTGACTCCGGCTCCCGTGGCGGAGCCAGTGCCCCAGCTCCCAGAGTCCCCGCAGGCCCCGTCCCCCGCGCCCTCCCCCCGCCTCCGCCGCCGCACCCCCGTCCAGCTGCTGCCCCACCTGCCCCACCTGCTCAAGTCCAAATCTGAGGCTAGCCTCCTCCAGCTGCTGTCGGCAGCCACTGCCCACGGAGCGCCCCCAGCCCCCAGCCGCAGCCTGTCGGAACTCTGCTTGGCCACTACGGCCACTGGCACCAGGACTCAGGGCCCCCCTCGGGGAGCTGGGCCTGGCTGGAATTGTGGGGGGGCGCCAAGCCCCGGCAGTGGCTCTCGGCCGTCAGAGGTGGCGGACAGAACCACCTACCTGGCCGGGGAGCCTGAAGGGCCCGCGGGGAGGAGCCGAGACTTGCCCTCAGGGGCCTCGCCCAGGGTCCAGCCTGAGCCCCCCCCGGGGATGTCTGCCCAGCACAGGAAGCTGACGCTGGCCCAGCTCTACCGAATCAGGACCACCTTGCTGCTAAACTCCACGCTCACTGCCTCGTGAGTGGCCTGGGTGGAGAGAGGGCAAGTGGCCCCAGCGTGCCGGCACGGGCGGCACCGAGCCCTGGGAGTGGGCAGGGGCGCCGCTGTGGCTGGGAGCGGGTGGCATCTGGGGATGTAGATGGAGGAGGGACCGTGAGGCCTGCCCCAGAGCAGGGGTAAGGGGTCTTCAGAGAGCAGTGGCGAAGAGGTCTAAGGGTTCTGGTGGGGAGCCGAGGGTGGCCAGGGTCCCTCTGAGGGGCATTAGCCAAGCAAGGGAACTCTCCCCTCCCCTGCAGGGAGGTCTGAGCAGAGGGAGGCCCCTGAGGGTGCCACTGACCGCGGGACAGCAGACAGCATGCCTCCTGGGGCACGCCGGCCCCTGTTCCAGCCGCTGCCTCCCGTGCGCACAAGCTGGAGTGCCGGGCAGGGCCCCTGCCGCCGCCCAGGCCAATTCGCACTTTGCCCGACGGGGTGGAGATGGAGGAGGGTCCGGCAGAGGCCCAGGCTGCAGTGCCCCTCAGGGCCACCCCCCACGATCGCCACCTTCACTAACCCGCCCCCTGCCCTGGATTCTGTGTCCACTACTCCCCGAAGCCACCAGCTCCAATCCGCGGGGCTGGTCTCCCAGGCCGCCCACCTCTGGCCCCAAATGGGGTGTTCACCTGCCCTTGCCTCCCTCCCTCCCTCCCGGTTCCGCTGGCCACCCCAGGCTTGGGCTGGGCTCTGTGTAAAGTTGCATATTTATTGAGCTTTTGGTTCTTTTATAAAGACTTGTATATACTCCACTGAGAAGAGTCTTTTGCTTTTGGACTCAGGTGCGCTGAGCTCCTGTCCCCCTCCATCGGTGGTGGGCCACCACGGGAGGACACTGTGGGAAGCAGAGTGAACTAGGGGGCAGAGGTCACCAGGCCAACACCCCAAAATCAACCCAGTCCCCTCCGCAGCCATGAGGTCTCCCGTTAGAGCCCCACGTGGTGCCTCCGAGGACCCCGCCCCGAGTGGCCCTGTGAGCTCATGCTGGGTGGGCGGCCTGTCTCCCTGGGATTCTCCCTAGAACTCCCCTCCAGGGGAGGGCCCTGTCCCACCCCCACGCAGGACCTGGGCATGGGTGGGGGTGACCTCCCGCCAGGCTCTGAGGCCCGTCTGGAGATCACTTCACCCCAGCATGGTGGCCTCCAGCCGGGGCTAGGACCCGGGCACGGGGACCCTGAGGCAGCCCTGTCCTGTGGGCACCTTGCTGCCCTCAGGCCACCTCCAGTGAGTCCCTGTGTGGGGGTGGCGGCAGGCCCCAGGCTCAGGGCTCCGCTTCAGGGTCCCCAGGCCCTGCCCTGAACACCACCCTTGAGGCAGGTTCACCCGGGTAGCGGGGGCGGGCCCTGCGGCATCAGGCTGGGCGCCCCACCGGAACCTCGGTGGGCAGGGCGGGCGTGGCGGGTGGAGCGGGGAAGCCCCCACGCCCGAGCCGAGCCGTCGGAGGGCCCAGAGTGGCGCTGGGGCCATGGAGCAGCAGCCCCGGGGCTTTGTGGCAGTGGCAGCTGCGGTGAGTGGGGACCGTCAGGGGAGGGGGGGCCCTCCAACCTCGGGGCCTGGGTGGGCCCGTGCAGGGAAGGAAGGGGTCCGCGAGGATATCTGAATCTCTCCTCAGACTCACTGGGACTGGGCAGCACCCCCCTCCAACCTAGTTAGAGGCTCAGCCGGGGCGGGCTCTTCTGCTGAGAGGAAACATCCTCTCGGGCCCGAGGGGTCTGGAGGCCGCAGGCAGGGAAAGATCCGAGTCCCTGACCGCCTTAGAAGGAGCCCGGGGAGGGGGGCATCCGGCTCTGCCCCGGTGGAGAGGATCCGCGTGAGAAGGGTCGGGGGAGCCCTCCCCTCCACGTCTCCGAAGCCTTTCCTGGGCATGGGTTGGGGGGTGGGGTGGGAGGAAGGAAGTCTCTACCCCCACCCACGGGCACCCCTTCTGCTCAAGGACCTGAGAAATGGGCTGCTCTGAGGGCGAATCCTGGGGTATTTGAAGTTGGGGAGACTGGGCAGGGAGGGCCCCACGTGGGGCAGCCACGGGGGAGCCAGCAGCACCTGTCCCCCAGGCCCTGCTGCTGCTGCTGCTGCTGGGCGCCCCGGGCCAGGGCAGCCCGCCCGGCCCCGGCTGTGACTGCGCCCACGGCGCTCAGAAGAGGAACGGTCTGCTCTGCTGCGGGGGCTGCCCGGCAGGCGAGTGGCTGAAGGGGTGGGAGGGGGGCGGTGGGGGGAGATGAGGGCAGGCCGGGTGGGGGGAGGGGGCGGGCAGGCCAGGGACCCGGCGAGGGGCTGGGAGAGGAGCAGAGAGCCATAGGAAGGGAGGGAGGGGACGGTGGGGACCCCCTTCGACGTGCTGACCCCGTCTGGGTTCCACAGGGCAATACCTAGCAGCCCGCTGCATGGAGCCTTGTGGCAACGTCACCTGCCTTCCGTGCCCCCCGGGCACCTTCCTGGCCAGGGAGAACCACCATGAGACCAGCTGCACGCGCTGCCAGACCTGTGATGAGCAATGTGAGGGGCTGCCTCGCGCTGTGAGGGGGCCTCCAGAGGACAGACCAAGGCCACGGTCTTTCTGAAGGAAGTGCCTGGCCGGGGTGCCTGGCTGGGGCCCCCTGGGGGTGGGGTGTGCCCTTTCTTCCTGGGGACCTTCCTGTCTCTCTGTGCACACCTCAGCCTCTGGTCTGCGGGGATCCTCTGCTTCTCTTTCCTTTGGGGTCGCCCTCTCTCTGGTCTATCCCCGTCTCTGTCCTTGCGGGGATCTGTCCCGCCTCTCCATGGCGGTCTCCGCCCCTAACTGCCTCTGTGCTCCCCGTCTCCCTGCACCCCCACCAGTCTCCCAGGTGGCTCTGAAGAACTGCTCGGCGGTGGCGGACACCCGCTGCGGCTGCAGGCCGGGCTGGCTCATGGAGTGCTTGTTCTCCCACTGCATCGGCAACTTGCTCTTCCAGTGCTCCAAGTGCAGAGACTGCGGGGCCCTGCACCGCCACACGAGGGTGCCCTGTGAGTGCCCCCAGTACGGGCCATCGACCCCCGCCCACCACCCTCACTTCCTCTCTCCCACCTGACCCGCACCACCTCTTGGACTGCAGGTTCCAGGACAAAATGCGGGACCTGTCTGCCTGGCTTCTACGAATATGGCAACAGCTGTGTGTCCTGCCCCACGTAACTTCCTGGCCGCGCTGGGCTGGGGGAGGGGAGCTGGGAGCAGAGGGGAGTCGGGGGGCAGGGAGGAGGGAGCTTGGCTCTACGGTGGGTGGGCCCCACATCAGGCAAACAGGTGAAGAGAAATCTGGATTCGCCTGTGTCAGATAAATAAGGATTCCTGTAGTAATCCTTACAGCTGTACGTGGCAAATGGGACTTGTCACCTACAGAGAGATTTACATTGATATAATTTCAAAACTTGGGCGGAGATTCAGCAGCTGCCACTTGTTCCCTAGAGGATCTTGTGCGCGTTACTGCACTGCCCGGATATGTGGCCTCCCCATCTGAACGGGGGTGTCGGTAGGTCCACCCCAGAGCACCTGCCGTTTCCAGGAACTGCTCTCGTGCTGGGAATGCGACAGGAAATGAAATAGGCAAATCCTGGTCCTTAGGGGACTGACGTTCTAGTGACCCTCAGTCTGGCCTAGAAGAAGCTCGAGACATCGTGGCTGTTGATACTGTCACTGGGGACGCAAGTAACATTGCAGGAGCATTTCAGGATCATTCCTGGGTAGAGCGCGGCTCCCAGGGAAGAGGCCAGGTGGGGTGGGGGAGGGCCTTCAGGATGGAGGTGTCAGGCAGTCCTGGAGAGCTGCTCCTGGGTTGTAGGCCCTCACCCCTCACCTGCGCCCCCGCCCCCGCCCCGCAGGAGCGCCCCCTGGAGCTGTCCTGAGCCCTGTGTGGCCGTCTGCGGCTGGAGGCAGAGTAGGTGGCGTGCTGGGGACACAGTGGGAGAGCTGGGATGGGCCAAGGTGAGGACGTGGGAGGCTGCCACCCACCGCCAACCTGCACCTCTTTCAGTGTCCTGGGTCCAGGTGCTCCTGGGAGGCCTGCTGGTCCCACTCCTGCTCGGTGCCACCCTGGCCTACACCTACCACCGCTGCCAGCCCTGCAAGTCGATGGTGCCCGGTAAGCGCGTGCGAGGATGCGCGCACACACTCCGAGGAGCCTGGGGTCTGTATGGGTAACCCAGAGCCCACTCAGGCCTGATGCATAGGGGGAAACCGAGGAAGGGAGTCCTGGCGGGTGTATGTACAGAGGAACTGGAGAAGTGGGACCAGCACCCAGGCCCAGGAGCCCTGCCTGGGTGCTGGTGAGACTCTTGTCTCTCAGCAGATGGAGCTGGGGTGGAGGCCCTGGACCCCCTGCAGGTAAGAATCTCAGGAATGTCCTGGAAGAGGGTGAGCAAGCACCCAGGCCTTGGGCTTCTGGAGCCGAGAGGCTGGGCCTTGTTATGACTCGTGGTCCCCGGTGTGTGGCAAGGTGACTGGCCTGGAGCTGACCTAGGAAACCCCGTGCCAAGTTATCAGGCCGGAGAGCATGATAGTGCCTGGCCTCAGGCCGCTCCCCGTCCACTGGGCCCATGGGCGAACAGGAGCTAACAGCTGAGTGAGACGGGGCCACTGTGGTGAGGGCCACCGTGGCGAGGGCAGGGGAGGGCACTCTACCAGAGGGCGTAGCTTTTCCACGGGGCAAGGCCCACCCAGGGTAGGCGGCCCTGGGTGGGGGATGCTGGCCACAGACTCCAGCAGAGGGGCCTTAGTAGGTAAGCAGGGCTGACCGAGAGGCTCTCTTGGCTTCCAGGCCACCGACCTCTCACCCCCAGACAGAGCCCACGCCCTTCTGGCGCCACTCAGCGGCAGCGAGAAGGTCTGCGCCCTCCAGTTGGAAGGCAACAGCTGGACCTCTGGCGCCCTCCAGATCCAGGAAGCGCCCTTCCCGGAGCTGCCGTGGTCCTGGGACCAGCGGCCCGGCAGAGCTTTTGGTAAGGGACTTCAGTAGCCTGAGACCTTGTCGCCAAGGTGAAGTCCGAGGTGACAAGTTGTGGTTTCCTGAGGCGCCACTTGCCCACTTCCCGGCCGCCAGCTAACTACCTTGGTGGCTCTTCCTGCCCCCTGGCCGCAGACCTCATTCCCACTGGCTCTCTCTGGTCCGTCCCCAGGCTCTCAGCCGTTGCCACCGCCGCACGCCTCGACAGCGCCCCCTGCAGGCTCGGCGGACCCCACGCTCCAGCTGGGTCCGCAGCTTTACGACGTAATGGACGCGGTGCCCGCCAGGCGCTGGAAAGAGTTCGTGCGCACGCTGGGGCTGCGCGAAGCCGAGATTGAGGCCGTGGAGGTAGAGGTTGGCCGGTTCCGTGACCAGCAGTACGAGATGCTCAAGCGCTGGCGCCAGCAGCAGCCCGCAGGCTTGGGTGCCATCTACGCTGCTCTGGAGCGCATGGGGCTGGATGGCTGCGCTGAGGACTTGCGCAGCCGCCTGCAGCGCAGCCCGTGACACGGGGCCCACCTGCCAAATGGGGGCCCTGGTGGCCCTTGGTGAAGCCCTAAGTACCGTTACTTATGTGTGTAGACATTTTATGTCACTTATTATGTATGCCTCTGGCACGGCACTGCGTAGCAGCGCCAGCCGGCCTCACCCCTGCGCGCCCCCTGGGTTCTGGTTAAGGCAAAGAAGCACCGATGCACATCGGGAGAGGCGGGGGTCAGGAGATTGCTCAGCTGTTTCTCGGCCTGATTTTGGCTGAGCCCGTCGTATTAAACCTATGGAAAAAATAAAAATAAAAAAATCTGCTGCTTGGTGTTTCCGCGGGGCTGGAGTGTTAAGTGGCCCAGGCTTGGTTTCCTGTGGAGCGTCAAAAGGGCCGGAAGTCTTGACACACAGGGTCTGAGACCCGCGGTGGGGACCAGCGTGGCCCTACGCCCAATCCTGCCCCACTCGCTTTGCTGTGGCAGTTACCCCAGAGGGAGAGGGAGACAAAGTCGGGGGCAGTTACCCCAGAGGGAGAGGGAGACAAAGTCGGGGGCTGCAGGCGCGAATGAACGTGAGGGAGCCCCAGGCATCTGAGAGAGCTTTAATGGGGGTGCGAGACGGTGGGGGCGCGGGGGCCTGGGAGGCAGCAGTCGCAGGCAGGTTCGGGGCCCCTCATCCTCCGTTAACTCCGCCACTGCAGTGAAAGGGTCCGAGGAGCTGGCCCCGGCACGGGCAGCGCGCAGACTTCACTGGGGGAAGGTGGGGCCCCGGGAGCTGCAACTCCGTCCTGACGGGCAGTTTTCACCGTTTCTGGTAAACACATGACTGAGAGGAAACCTTCGGCGGGGATGGGAAATGCGGGCCGGGCACATATCTAGGTCAGGGAGGGAGGAAAACCCCTTCCCCGAGCGCCGGGGCGGGCCTCCGCCCAGGATGCGCCAGCGGATGCGCCAACGACGCGGGTTCCGGGGTGCGGGGGAGGGGTTGCAGCCGGGTGTGCGTCCCCCGGGAGAACAGTCACCACCTACAGGGCTGGGAAGAGCTCTGCACACGTTGACATTCAGCGAACATGCAAATATATGTAAATAGGCATGCAAATAAGCAGCATCTTTTGCGTCAACGACTTGGGCACTTTTTCTGGGCGACTACAGCGGCAGTGGGCGCGCTCCAGCGTCGTCCGGGGCTGGGGATGCGAGGGCCGAAATGGGGTCAGGGAGGGGTCACAGCACCGGAGGGGAGGGCAGTGTGGCTCCCAGCCCTTCCGTCCGGTCGGGCAGGCTGGGGTGGGGGCTGCCTCTCCCCTCCCCCCCAGCTCGCAGGCATGCGGACAGGAAAGCAGCATCTAGTACTTAGCGATGTCCCCCTTCTTCAGGATGATCTGTCGCTGCCAAGGCGCCAGCTTGGTCTCGTCGTAGCCCAGCGTCCGCAGTTTCTCCGACTGCTCCTTTTCTCGCTGCATCTCCTCCTGCTTCTGTCGCTCCTCCTCTTTTCTAGACGCGGGGTGGGGACAGAACTGCCGTCAAGGGCGAGAGGGTGGGCCAGGCCTGTGGCAGCTCACAGGTGGCAGGGACTGGGTTACTGAGGGCAGGGGCTGGGCTGCTGAGCACAGAGGGACGAATGAATGGCAGGCAGGGCAGTGGATTCCAGGGGTCGAAGACCAAGGTGACTGGGGACAGGGGCTGGGTTAGGAGGCCCGCAGGAGGGACTGCTGCAGCTGGATTGCACACTGGGGCGCACAGAGGGGCTGGGTTATTGCCATCTGGGGGCATTACTGCGAACAGGTGCCGGGTCACAGTGTGGCAGGAGGTGGGGAGGAGCAGAGGACGGGGGTATTGAGGCTAGGACCTGAGTTACCGGGGCTTGAGGTTGGGCTGCTGGGGAGCAGAAGGACCACATGCTTGGGAGACAGGGGCTGGGTAATTAGGGACAAACTGTGAAAACGTGGGGGCTAGATCGGCCCTGCTGATAGGCAGCTGATGAGCACGTGAGGCTGTGAGTGTTAGAAATTTCAGGCCTGATCCCTGGCTGGTGCGGCTCAGTGGACTGAGCACCGGCCTGCACACTAAAAAGCTGTTGCCAGTCAGGGCACAGGCCTGGGTTGTGAGCCAGGCCTCCGGTTGGGGGTGAGTGGGAGAGGCAGCCAATGTTTCTCTCCCTCTCTTTCTCCCTCCCTTCCCCTCTCTCTAAAAAGTAAATAAAATATTTTTTAAAAAGAGAAATATCAGGACTGAGACGTGTTGCAGGTAAAACTTAGATTTAAAAGAGCGTGGAAGATCTCATTAATAATTTTATATGATCTGCCCTGGCTGGTGTGGCTCAATGGACTGAACGCCCGCCTGGAAACCAAAAGGTCACCGTTCAATTCCCCGGTCAGGGCACACGCCTGGGTTGCAGGCCAGGTCTCCAGCAGGGGGGCCAGCGAGAGGCAACTCATCGATGTTTCTCTCCTTCTCTCTCCCTCCCTTCCCTGCTCTCTAAAAAAATATATATATTTAAAAAAAATAATTTTATATGATTATATATTGAAATGTATAACTTCAATTAAAGTTATCATTATTAAAATATATCATTGAATTTTGATGCACTGAGTTATATAAAATACACAATGAAAATCAAGTCACCTACATCTTTTTTTTTTCTGACTGGGCTACTATAAAGGGTAACGTTATATATGCCACTCGCATTATACTTCCGTCAAGCAGCCCTAGGCTAGATTCCCGGGGGCAGCGACTAAGTGTGAGGGGAGGGTGGTCAGGGTCTGGCAGTGACGTTGGGTCAGCTGCAGAGCGGACAGTCTGGGTTAAGGAGGTGGGGGCTGGGGAACTGGGGGCACGGCCGTTCCAGCGTAAGGGGCGGGCCCTGGGGAACGGCCTGAGTCACGGGGTGGGGGGCGGGGTGGGGGAGTGATTGGGGACAGAAAGGCTGTGCCACAGGGCTGAGGGACAAGGGGACGCGCTCAAGATGGGGCTGGGTGAAGGGCCAAAAGGACAAGCCTGCGACTGGTGTGTGAAGGGGAGGCAGGTTGGGCCTGGCCCTGAACTCACCGCTTCTGCTCCCTAGAAAAAACAAACGAGACAGCATTAGGTAGTGCCACCACCTCAGGGACACGCTCAAGACACCTTGCCAGACCCCACATCTCTCGGAACCCCAACTCACCTCTCCTCTTCCAGCTTCTTCCGAAGGAGGTCCCGCCTCCAGGCAGGCATGCTGGCCAGCCGGGCCTCCTCCTCCTCCTCCTGCAACACAAGCACAGAGCTTCAGGGCCAGCGCGGGTGGGGGCGGGGGCCGGGGGTGTGCCCCCAACCCAGGGAGCCTGCAGGGGTCACGGGAAACAGGACACAGGTGGGGCTGCAGGCTGAGACCCTTCTGACACCCTTCTAGAGGGCAAGTAGAGGAAGGCGCCTGGCCACACCCTCCTTGGAGGAGGCCTCCCGGCCCCCCCGCCCCCAACCATGAGTCCTAGAGGAGGCACCAGAATGGTCAGTACTGAGTGTAGGAGGAGAGCAGAGAAAGAGATTCCCCACTGAGGCGGGTGGACAGGTGGCCCCAGACCTGTGACCCACAATCTTTGGACAGACCCATACGTGGGCCCCCACAGACCTGCCAGCTCTGAGAGGCTCAGGCTGGCCCTGGTTTCCACTGTGAAGGACCTTCTGGCCATTTCTGTCCTTTTCCCAAATGGAGTAGACATCAACGCTACAACTGTGGTAGGGGACATCCAACACAGGCAGCTTAGAGCAAAGCGTTTTATTACTCGCATGTTACAGAGAACACGTCACACGGAACACTGCACACGTGGCTCCCGTGACCTCAACCAAAGAGGTAGCTGTGAACTCCAGGAAAAATCCAGAGAGAAAGAGAGAGCTGCACAGCCCCAAGGGGGACCCACAGTCCCTCACTCAGAGGGGCTGCTCCTTCCACCTGGCTCTGCACAGAGCCAGCCAAGGCTGTGGGGCCAGAGGGAACGCCCGGTCTGCCCTGTGCCATGCGCGGCCTATCCTGGCTCCTCCCCCCATCCGGCCATGATGGGACCTCAAATGCCGAGGCAGCCTGGTTCTGGGCATTCTGGGTTTTCCAAGGCCACCTTCCAGGGTTCTTCCTGACTGCTTTTGGCCTCCAGAACTCATCAGCCAGGCATCCAGGCCCGAGTTAAGATGCTTGACTCTTGGGTAAATTCTGAATTCTGCTCAGATGTCGAAAAGCTCTGCCTCCTTCTCCTTCCAGAAGGAGAAGCTGCGGTCAATGTAGCGGCAGATGTCCTCGTTGCTGAACTCGCCCATTTCAGACAACAGCTCCAGGGGATCTTCAGCAGGGGCTTCCGAACTAGGAGGGTCCAACGGCGTAGGGGGAGGCGCGGCTGGCGGGGGTGCGGGTGGGGGCTGGGGCTGCGGGGCAGGGCCCGGGCCCTCCGGATGACCCTCTGGCCAGTCCTCTGTCTGAGCTGGTGCAGCCTCTGGGGCCGGCTCCCTCTCCTCCACCTTCTCTTTCTTCTCTTCCTGCTCCTTCTCAGCCTCTTCCTGCTCCTTCTCAGCCCCTTCCTGCTCCTTCTCGGCCTCTTCCTGCTCTTTCTCGGCCTCTTCCTGCTCCTTCTCGGCCTCTTCCTGCTCCTTCTCGGCCTCTTCCTCCCAAGTCGGCTTAGCCTCCGGGCTGTCTCCGAAGAATTGGTGCTTGAGGTCCTCAAAACCGTCGCTCCAGCAACGCCGGCCGGCCTCCACCTCCTCCAGCACCACGCGGTGGAACTGGCGAATGAGCTCCCAAGGGTGGCTTCCCAGCCTGTCGAACATCTCGTAGCACAGCAGGTGGCGGAACTTGCGCTCCTCGCGGCTCAAGCCCATCTCAAGCAGCTGGAAGTAGCCGAGCATGAAGAGGTCCAGCGTGAGGCTGTCATAGCGCGGGGGCGCACCACCGTCCAGGGGCGGCAGGAAGTGCTCGGGCCAGTACAGGCCGTGGGACAGGGCCGGGCCGCCGGGCTGGCGCGCAGGCACCTGCCGCAGCAGGCTCCGCCAGTGGCCCAGCAGCTTGCCCACCACCTGCCGCTGCTTCAGAAGGCGCAGCAGCCGCTCGTCGGGGCTGTCACCCGCCGGCGGCTGGGGGGCGTCGGCGGCTTCCAAGGCCTCAGGGGCCGGGTCGGCGCCGGCGGCCACCACGCGGGGCAGCAGTCTGCGCAGGCGCGCCTGGGCTTGGCGCCCGTGACCGTGGAAGGTCCACTTGCGCCAGTGCTCCAGGAAGAGGTAGACGATGCGCTCCTTGCGCATGTCGATGTAGTCCTGGACGCCGCGCAGCTCGGTGGGGAGCGGCGGCCCGCGGGCCAGCAGCTCTGGCTCAGGCAGCGCCGCCTGGCGGCCTGGCACCTCGGGCGGGTGCAAGTAGCCCGCGGGCTCCTGGGCGGGCGGCAGGCTGTTGGCAGAGGCTACGGCGCTCGGCTCACCGAGGCCGGCCGCCATGTAGTCCTCCTCAAGAATGGGTTCTCGGCTCGGGGCGCCGGGCGACAGCGAGAACTTGCGGCGGGGGCTGCGCGGTGGCGCGGAGCCCTGGGCCCGCAGCTCGTACATGGCGCGGAGGCGCTGCACCGAGACGCCGCACTCTAGGATCTCGCGCGCCACGGCCTCCCGGCACCAGCTGAGCGAGTGTGAACGGCCGAGACAGAGCGGCCCCGGCCGCCAGGGCGCGTCGGGCAGCGGCGCCAGAGGCAGGCCCGTGTCTGCGGCCAGCAGATCGGCCAGGTGCGCGGGCCGGCCGCCCAGGGCGGCCAGCAGCGTGGCCATGCTCTTGAGCAACGTGGAGATCTTGCTGCACCAGGCAGGCAAGTTAGCGGCGCGGCCGTGCATGCGGCGCGGGTCCACCGTGAAGCGCGGCGCCGACAGAGCGGCCGAGATGGGAAGCAGCTGCTCCAGCTCCATTTCCAGCTGTTTCAGGCGCGCCTCCAGCTTCTGCGCCTTGTGCAACACCTGCAGGTTCTCAATTTGCTGCTCGATGCGGAGGATGTCAGCCTCGGTCATGAGCTCTCCGAAGGGCCCGAGAATGCCGTTGTATTCGCGGGAATACCTCCAGCCCTCGCGGGGATAGCAGCACGAGCTGGCGGATGTCAGCTAAGCGGGGAAGACAAGAGAGGGGAGGGAGGCGGGTCTCCCTCTGGCCCGGCTCCGGCGGCGGCCGCCGGGGGGCGCCCTTTGCATGTCCCAGGTGGTGTAATGGCTCCGCGGGGCGAGTTTGCCGGGAAGAGCCGCGCCTGGCTGGCGGGCGATTACGCTGGGAGGAGGCTTCAGCCCAGGCCGCCGCTCCGGGCGCTGGGCAGTGTCCACTTTGGTCGCTGGCGGGGACAGAGTCAGTCGTTGGGCGCTGTTGCAGAGGCAGGGCGGGCAGGAGGGGCTCCGTGCCTGGCTCGGTTGCTCATTACACCACCGAAGAACATGCAAAAGGCATTGAAGCTGTGACGCACGGCGGCCCTCCCACCACATCCAAGGTCTGCGATTTTGAGGCCACATGCCTGCGAGGCCTCTCCTCGCCCCCGGCTGAAGGCCCCTTCTAAAGCTCCCCTGTGGCCCAAGCCCTCACTGTCCGCCTGAATGACAGGCTCTTAAAAGAGGCGTGGCTTCCTCTCCTAGTCCCACCCACCTCCTCTCATCCCTGGGATAACACAGTTCAGAAGGGTAGGCTTGCCAGGCCCTCCTTGCAGTCTCATTTCCCCCTCACTTTCCTTCACCTCTGGGCTGTCCCTTTAGCACCAGACCTTTCCAGCCTGGGGTGGGGGGGGGGCGCCCTCACCTCCTCACAGCCCTCCCAGCGCATCCTGACCCACCACAATCCCCTTATACAAACCCCACAATGCCACTTCCCAGCTTAACCTCCCTCCCAGGCTCCCCGCTGCTCCAGGAGAAAGTCCGCTTTCCTCAAGGCCAGGCCTTGGTGACCTGACCCCACCTCCCCAGCTCTACCCCTTGCCTTCCCGGCACAGTCGCCGGGCCACGCCCACTGGCTCACGGACCTCCCCCTCCCGCCCGCGAGCTCTTTGCCGCACTCTCCCCGTTCACCTCTTGCTCATCTTCCAAGTCTACCCTAGACCTCACTTTGCCCAGCACCATCTCCAGCCCAGCCAGGACGGTGGGCTGCCCCGGGCCTCTGCACGCCCACCACGGCGCTGCCCATATTGGAACAGTCTGTCATTGGGGGGGCACTTATCGCTCTGCTAAGGTGCCGTGTTTGCTCGTTGGCTGTCCCCTCTGCTCCCTCAGGAGCAGACCCTGATATAGCCCCTGAATTCCCAAGAGGCTACAACAGTGTGGCACCCAGATGCCACCCAGGGAACATTTGTCGAATGGACCAATGACAAACCACCCTGCCAGCCAGTGACGATCAACCCATCTGACAGATGAGAAAACTGAGGCCGGATGAGAGTCCGTATCAGCAGCTGGAAAGTGGCAATGCAGGGACAGAGCCCAGGCCTCTCTATGACCAAAAGCCTCTTGGTTACTCAGAGTGTGGCCCTGGAGTGGCACAGTCAGCCGCACCCTGCGGCTTGTGGCAGGATCTCAGCCCCACCAGAGCTCCTGACCCAGAATAGGCATTTTTACAAGATCCCAGGCTGCTGGGGGCGGGGAAGACTGGGGAGAGTCCCAGGAGAGGGAGGGCCTCCGACCCTGCTTTTCCCCACAGCTAATGGGAGGTTGAAGGGCTCTCACAGGTTGGGGTGTTGGGGCGGGGCTGTGGGCCCAGGTGCAGACCCCCAAGGCCCTCTGGGGAGCGCCACACCGCCCACCTTCCGCCTCTGCTCCTCCTCCTCCTGCATCTTCAGCTGCATCTTGCGGACCATCACCTGGCGCTTCCACTCTGGGATGGGCCGGCCCTGCTCGTCGTGCGTGGGGATGAGCGCTTCCACATCGAGCTGCACGCCCGGCGCTGGGGTGGAGGGCGGCGCCGGTGCCAGGCTGCCATTGAGCAGCGGCTGGGGCCCTGCGGCCGGCGGGGTGGGGCTCCGGGGCCGGGATGGTGCCGGCGACGCTGGCGGCAGTGGCGAGTCAGGCTACGGCGAGAAGCGGCGGGGCTGAGCACGGGCAGGGGCCGGGGCCAGGGGCCAGGGTGCCCTTCGGACCACCTACCTGGGAGGCCGGCTGTCCACTGCCGGAGAACACCGTGGTCAGACCCTTGCTCTGCGGCGTGGGCTTCAGACTCTTGCCAGCCTTGATCTCAGCCAGTAGCTCTGAGTTGTCCCCCGTCGGGGCCATCATGTTGAAAGACTTGGTGCCTGTGTGAAGGCAGGAGAGGAGGCGCTTGCAAGGGGCGGGGCGGCATCCCTCCTGGCCCCCACCCGTGCCTCTGCTGCCCCCTCCTCAGGTGGGGACGGGCTCAGAGCCTTCCCTCTGGTCCCGAGGGCAGCCATCCAGATCCCCAGCCTGGTGGGCGGCTCGGCTCTTGGGGACCCCACAGTCGGGTCCCTCGCTGGAAGTCCAAAGTTGTACAACCCCACCATTATCCCAGCCCTACTCACGGGCCATGGGGCCCCCGCCTGGAGGCCCCTGGGGATTCATGATGGCTCTCGGGCTGGTCCCGGGGACTCTAATGAATGCCTCCGCCCAGCGCACGGACTGCCCAGCTCCAATACACTACCAGGGTCCAGCCCCCGACCTTTGTCCCGGGTGCCCTGGCTCAGCCCGCCAGGGTGGAGTCTCCCTCTGGCCCTCTCTCTGGATCAGCAAAGACCAGTGACCCTTGGACTGAGTCACCTGAGCCTCTATGGCTATACAGACTAGGGGCCCTGGATACCACCACCCAGCCAGTACTCCCCCACCCCTGACAAACCCAGACAGACACCCGTGCAGACGTACTAGTTGCAAGCCAGGAGCACACTTACAGCAAAGCGCTGCTCAGCTTGGGGGGGCGGGCAGGAAAGTGGAGCCCTTACTAAGGATGTGGAGCGCGGGGGGGGGGGGGCGGGGGGGCGGGGCCGGAAGGAGGACCAGGCCGGCAGCATGCAAATGCCCCCGAGGAGTTTGCATTTATCAGCGAGGTCGGCAGAGGCGACTGAGGGTTGGGGAGGGCTGCTTTAGAGCCCGAGGACGGTCAGGGCTGGGCGAGGGGAGTGGCCGACAGCTCCCGGCTTCCCTGGGCTGGGGAGCCCAGCTCACAGTGTGGGAGGGCGAAGCGGGGAAGGCGCCGGCAAGCAACAGCAGCCGGGCCCAGAAGTCACACATGTGGGGTGGGGCGGGGTAAGAGGGGAGGTGTGGGGCAGAGGCCCGCACCGTGGCCCCAGAACCCCTCGCTGGGCATCGGCCCCGGCCCCGGCCCCAGCCCTGCCCTCTCCTCAAGTCCCTCGCCCCTTTGGCCTCGCTTTCCCTGAGCGTGCCTTGTCCCCCACCCTCGCACCTCAGCCAGGAGCCGCGCACGCACGCGCACGCAGCTACTCACTCTTCCTGTGTCTCAGGACTCTCACTTCTAGGGACCGAGAGGAGAGAAGTGACAGCGGAGTTAGGAGAGGGAGGGTGTTGGGTTGAGGCTCGGAGAGCGGGGACAGTGGGAGCAGGGCTGGGAGGACAGGAGGAGGGAAGGGACCCGTCTGACCCGGCTCAGGCGGCTCAGGGTTCCACCAGGGTGGTCTGCTCAGGGCCCAGCTCTGCCGGTGCCCCGAGGGCTGGGCAGGGCTGCCCTGGGCCCTGGGCCCCCTAGCAAGAGCCTCCATCTTGGCCCTGGGCTGGGGTAGGGCGCCCAGTCCAGATTCTGCCAAGAGCGGTGTCTGGAGAAGCCCAGAGCCTGTTTTCCTTCGGCCCCCAGCTTCGGCCGGCTGCAGGCTGCGGAGGGGAGACGCTGAGCCCGGAACTGGGCGCTCAGCTGGTGGCAGACGTGCTGTCATGGGCTCTGGTCTACAGAGGCTGGGGCTCCCTAGGAGCCCCAGGGGACACAGCTGCACCTCCCCCGGCCCCTGCTGTGCCCGTGCGCTCCTCATGAGGAAGATGAAGCTTTGGGCGGTGCCCCTGAGCATGGCCCCTGCACTGAGTGGCTGGAGAGAAAGCTGCCCTCTGCCAGGAGGGGGAGCGGACTGCTCCCTGGGCCTTTCAGAAGCCCAGCTGTGCTGGAGACCGCCCCATATTATGGAAGAGAAAGGAGCTCAGGAACCCTGGTCACCAGTCTAGCTCTTTAGAAAGGATGCCCAGGAGAGTCCCCAGGAGCGACAGGCATGATGGGTTACTGGCCTCATCCCCCAAGCCAGGCCCTGGCTGGCCTGAGGGAGCTCTGGCTGGGGAGAGGCCCTGGTGCACCTGAGGAGGGCTCAGGGGCTGTCACCGGCTTGGAAGGACCCAGGAAGGGGGTGAGGGGAGACTCGGGGCAGATGCGGGGCCAGGGGGGAGGCTGGCCAGCAGCCCTGCCTCCTGGAAGCTGGTTCTGCTTCTCGGAGCTTCCCTCGAGCCCTCGCTCATCATCAGAGACAGCTGCCACCAGACCTGGGCGGCCTGCCCCGCTGGGCGGGAGGCAGGCCTGGGAGGGCAGGGGACGTGCCCCGGGTCACACAGCCAGTCCTGCTCTGGCAGGGCCTTCCTTTAGGGCCAAGTCCTCCCTGAGGAGGGGCTGCAGGAAGAACAGCAGAAGAGGGAGCCCTGGGGTTGTCTGGGTGTCCCTCCCCCTCCGGGGCTAGAGCAGCGCTCCTCCCCCTCAGTGCACCCCTACTCACTGCCAGTGGAAGAGGAGGAGCGGCGCTGCGCGCAGCCAGGGCCGGCGCCCTCGAAGGGCAGCGGCGGGGCGGGCGGTGGCGAGCTCAGGCCCTCGGGCAGGGGCGGCGGCGGCGGCGGCGGCGGCGGAGGCGGCGGCGGCAGCTCCCTGGCCGCCTTGGGGTCCGCGGCGCAGCCGTTGTGCACGTGGTTCCCGGGGAGCAGCGCCGCCTGCGGGGGAGCGGAGGGGCCAGCGAGTGAGGCGCGGGCCGCCTGGCCGGGTCCCAGGCGGCCGGCGGAGGCGGGCGGGCGGGCACGCACCTCCTCGCTGTGCGCCATGCCCGGGCGAGCGGCCGGCGGCTCCCGGGGACAGCGGCCCAGCTGGCGGTAGTAGTCCCCCGTGCTGGGCTGCTTGCTGAAGGCGCGGGGCTTGCGGCCGGAGTCCTGCCTCCGCAGCCCGTTGTGGCTGTCACGGGAGCTCAGCTGCGGAGAGACGGCGGCGGGGGGTGGGGGGGGCTTCAGGCCCTGGTCCCTCGTGCCTCCCACGCCGCCCCACCCTCCGCTCTTCCCCTTCCCGGTGGCTCACGGCCAGCGGCTGTCGAGGGGCGCCGCCAGCCCTGTTCCTAGACACCGCCTGTGCACAGAGCGGGGACGCGGCGAGGGGCAGGGGGGCCTGGGTGGAAGGGCAGGCTCGACGGGCCCTCCGAGGAGGGGCTGTGGGCAGGGGCCCCCACTGAGGCTAGAAGGGGCGGGACCAGGGGCGGGGTGACCCAGCCCAGACGCCAGGGGGAGCCGGCGAAGGGGCCGCTCCCAGCCTGGCCGGCGCGAGAGCCTCCGCCGCACCCCAGTCGCCGCGGCCACACTGCCCGTCCACAGGTCTCCGCCGAGCCCTCTGGCGGGGATCCCGGCCCCGAGGGAGCCCCCTCGAGAGCCCGTGTCCTGTGAGGTTCCTGCTTGCCCAGGGCCCTCAGCAGCCCAGCCCGGGGCTCCTTACCTGTGCCGGTGCCGGTGGCCCCCGCTGTGCACCTGGCGGCGGGGGCGGCGTGGACCCGACACCTGAGCTACCTGATCCTTCCTCTCGGGTTACAGCCCAGCCCGTGCCCGCCCGCGCCTTTGAGCGCCTAGGGGCTCCGACGGCCTGACATCACCCGGGCCCGCCAATCCCGGGCAGCGGGGGGTGCGCCCGCGCCGCCACACCCGGCCGCGCACCGCGCCCGCCGGTGCGCCAGATGTGCCCCTGCTCCGACGCCTCTCTCCCTCCGCTGGGCGCAGCTGCGCATCTCGGTCTTCATCCGCGCGCTCCGTCCCTCCCTCCTCCGAGGCAGAAGCGCCGGCCTGACCGCGGGCACTGAACCCCCTCCCCCATTTGGTCCCCCTGGGTCCCGGGTCACGCCCCCGCCCTTCCCTGGCCGCATCTGGAAACCATCGCCGTCCGCGTAAGCGACACCGACACCCTCGCCCAAGCCTCGGGTTTCAGGGGCGGCAAGGCGGCTCGGGTGACAGCTACGCGCCTGCCCCGTCGCAGCTGCCCCCCGTTTAGCCCGGCGCGGAGAGGACCGGAGGCAGCGGGGCCAAAGGCCGAGTCCACGGGCGGGGGCTGTGCCCTGCCCCACCTCCCCGCCCGCTCGTCCCTGCCGTGGCCCCGGACCCTCCACGCCCCACCCGACCCGGCTCACGTTGCAGGAAACGGGACACCACAGGATTTGTTTTCTGGGCCAGCCCGCCCCCTCGGCGCCCCCTGCAGCCCCGAGGCACACACGCTGCGACCCTGCTGGCGCTGCGGTCAGGCTACCAGGCCAGGGGCTGGGGGCGCTGCGGGCACACAAAGGGCCCTTTGTGGAGCGGCCAGAGCCTGCGGCCTGGCACGCACGCACCCGGGAGGGGCAGCGACCCGAAGGCTGGGTGCTCCGGCTCAGGGGAGGGGAGGGGGCCTGGGTGGGCCACCTGTCTTGTGGCTTTGGGCAGGGCCCACAGCCCGGTCGGGAGCATTCTCTGCCCCTGCAGGCCTCTCTTGGGCCCCCACCTTCTGGAGATGAAGGGGGACCCTGACTGAGAGCTTGCTCTGAGGTGGGGTGAAAGGGGGCGGGTAGAGTCACTGGGCTGGCTCTGCCCCTCCCCTCCCCTCCCCAGTGGCCTTGTGACCCGGGTCACCTGTGGGAACTGATTACTTAGCTTGGCCCTGCAGCGGCTTGCCTCGGACCTGAGCGAGGACTACATGGTCAGAGCCCCCACGGGACCCTCAGGGGTCTCTATCCCACACTCCGCCACCGGAGAGGGCTGTCTCCCCACCTCTCGGAACAGCTGCGCTCTGGCCCCTTGGCCAACACCCCAGGGCGCCCTCTGGGCCTCCCTGCCCAGGACTCCCAGAGCTGTCCAGCCAGCCCTCTGTCCCCGGCCCCACGCTAGAGCCTCGGCCGGGGTCCCAGAGGCCCTGCTGTCCGGGGCCCCTTGTGCTCAGCTCACTCAGACGGGACTCCACCCCTCCCTCCCCAGGACTCCCGTCCCAGCCTCACCCCTCCACCCCCAGGGGACCTCAAGCCCCAAACCCCACTCAGCCTCCTCCTGCCCCCTCCCCCAACCCTGGCGGAGTGCCAAGCCCTGCCGCCACACCCCCTCCTGGCCCTCTCTCCCCAGCCACACTGCCTGGATCTCCCACCCCAAAGACACATTCTCTGCAGACTCCATGACTACCCTGCCGTTTTGTGCAAGGGCAGGTGGGGATCCAGCCCCTGGAAAGGCATGACCATCTGGGAAGATGTTCCTCACCCCTCCCGTGCCCTGCAGCTGCCCAGAGGATGGTGACTTTGTCTTGCCCATCGCCCTGCCCCCAGTGCGCAGCCTTGAGCCCCCAGGGGGCCAGCCAGGCCAGCCAGCAATGCAGGCTCTTGAACAGGCCATTGGCCCAGGGACCCCCACCCTGTGCCCACAAGCCAGGCAGCCCTTGGCCTCCGCCGCCCCCATCAGCCCAGGTCCGGTGCTGAGGCAGGGAGGCGGGTGAAGGCTCACTACCTCCTTTCTGAAGGCCTGGGCCTCCACGTGGCGGAGTTTGCTCTTGGTCTGCATGTAGATGTCAGCTGCTTGCAGCCCCGCGGGGGGCTTAGGAGCTGGGTAGCCCGGTGGGGGCGGGGGCAGCTGGCTGCCTGGGCGTGGGGGTGGCGGAGGGAAGCCGGGGGGTGGCGGGGGTGCTGTGGTTCTCTCCGTCTTGCCCGGAGCCAGGTTCGGCTCTGGGCTCAGCATGTCCATGTAGCTCTGTATGTCTGCTTCTCTGCCGCTGGGGGGCCCTGCGGGGGAAGGCAAGGCTGGGTGTGCACTTCGGCAGAGAGTCTGCCCCTCAGGACCAGGACCCTCTACGGCCCATAAGCAACTTGCCAAGGGGGGAGGCAGACTCAGGGCCGCAGCCCAGCATGACCCCACCCGCGTCCTGGCCCTGCCCTCCCCCAGCCCTGCACCTGCTGGGGAGAGACCACAGGCTCCAGTGTGCAGGGAAAGCTCGGGGGCACCTCGGGCTTCTGGGTGTGCCTTCAGAGCAGAGCCACCTGGAGGGCGGAGGGGCTGCTTTTCAGGGCAGATCTGGCAGGGCAGATGGCAGGAGTACGACAGCCACACCCAGTCTCTGCAGGCCACCATCTGGTGGCACAAAGCCGGCATCGCAGGCGGGTGGACACCTGTACTCAGGGCGTGGTCAGTGTGTGCGTGCACGCATGTCTGGCTGCGGCATGAGCGTTTGTGCATTTTGTGTATTTGTGAGCGAGCGCACAGGCCCCTTTGTGTTTATGAATGTGTCTGTATCAGTCTGTGGACATGGGGTGCGTGTGTGTACGCATCTAGGGTATAGAGCAGAGAGTTGTGTGCTCGTGTGTAGTGTAGTTGTGTACATATCTGCACAGCTTTTCACATGTGGTTGTGCATTTGTAACTATGTTGTGTGTACACTTGTACAAGTGTGCACTCTTGAGTGTGCAAGGTCTGGGGGACAGCTTGTGCATGTGTAAGCAAGAACATTATATCATGTGCAGGGTGCATGTCGGTTTTGTCGGGGAGGATGTGCATGTATATTGTGATGGGGACACACAAGCATCTGTGTCGCCTGCCTCTCATCAGAACCAGCGCCCTCTCTTGGTGACCTGGGCAGCCTCCAGCATCCGCTGTGGGCAGCGTGGGCCCGGGGCTGGCCCCCAGCACCCAGAGGTCTGGCTCCAGCCTGCTCTCCTCCTCCCCTCCCCCCGCACCGGCCCACTCACCGCGTGGTGGGCGCCGGCCCTTGATACTCGACTGGCTGGAGGAGCAGGAGTCGTAGTTGGAGAGCGTGCTGGTGGGCGAGCTGAGGTCAAAGTTCAGTGGCTGGACTGACATGGTGGTGTTAGGCGAGGACATGCCCGAGTCCGGCTGCTTGGTCTCCAGCTCAGCGGACGGATCCCTGGACAGCACGCGGTGCTCCACGCTCTGAGTGGAGGGCAGGAGGCCATGAGGACAACTGGCCCTGAACACCAGCCTGCTCTGGGCCAGGGTCCTGCTCAGGCATGCCCTAGCTGTGTGACCTCAGCTAAGCCACCGCCCTTTCTGGGCTCTCTTCCCCGTCACGAGTGGGTCTTTGAGGCTCTTCCTAGGCTAAGATTCAAGCGCAGCCCCCCAGCAGCAGACCATGGGTTCCTGGGAAAACCTTCCCCTGGCCCCACCCTGCTCAGGAGGGTTGAGAGACCAAAGGAAGAGGCGTCCCTGGGCTGGACCCCAAGGGAGAAGTGCATGCCAGCTGCCTTCTTCCTCCTCATCGCTGGGCAGAGGGCCTGGGCTCCTGTGTTCCTTTGGGGCGGGGGCTCAGGCTCTTCAGCTGATGAGAGCACTTTGGCAGCAGGGAGCAGGGGAGGGGCACACAGCCCCACAACTGGCAGGAAGGACTGCTTCTTCATTTCCTCATCGGCAACCCCTGCCTCTCCCGGCCTGACGATGCACAGCCCAACAGCAGCCCAGCCCCTGTCTCCCAGCGGGGCCCTCGGGTGGCCCTGCTGAGCAGGCGGGCCTTGGAGCTAAGGCTGCCAAGCCAGCCATCCCCCACCACTGTCTGCTCCCCTGCCCACAGGCCTGACCCCCCGGCACAGGACTGGGCTGGGGTAGGGGCCCTGCTTACGTTGCCCATGTTGGCCCCGCTGCTGGCAAGCCTGCCCGCTCGCTGTCTCTGCCCAGGCCTGCTTCGCCCTGCCCCGCGCCCCTGCCTGCCTGAGAAGTGTCACAGGCCCCCCGGGAGTGGGAGGCAGGCCTGCACCAGGTAACGGCTCAGCGGCCACGCTCATTGGCCTGTAATTAGGGGCTCTGCGGGACTGTTTGCTTTTTCTGGGCCAGCATCCTCTGTGGCTGGGATCTGTCACTGCCGCCACCAGGCCCACCTGGGTGAGGGGGCCAGAGCCCCCACGCCTCACACGCTTTGGGGGTGCCAGCCCTGCTGCTAGGACTCAAGGGGACCCCTAGGAGCTGAGGCAGGGGAGGGGCCTCTGACGATGCTCTTTCCTTGGCCCTTGGCAGTGGGCGCTGGGGGCTCTAGGCCTGACTGCACGGACACTGGAGGTTAGGGGCCTGAGCTCTGCAGCCTGGGACGCTGACTTCAAATCTTACCTCCCCTACTTGCTTGCTGCCCGACCTCGGGCAGCTGCCTTATCTTTTCTGTAGCTGAGTTCCTTTATCTGTACATGGGATGCCGGGACTGCCTGCCCCATTAGGTTGTAAAAATGATTTTAAAAGTTAGTAAAGTGCCAGGGCATGGTGGCCAGGAAATGCCACGCGTATCCACCATTAGTATTAATTTACTGTGAAGATGAACTGAGATTACACCCCAAAGCACTAGGCAGGGTACTTGGGGGGCCAGATTCCAAGGAATGGTGTTTGTTGCTTAATGCCAGCAGCCGCTGTCAGGAGGGGACATGGGGCTCTGTGCCACCCCGGCCCCCGCAACGGAATCGCAGACTTGCTCAGAGGGAAGAAATTCGCCTCTGGCGCAGAAAGGCCCTTCCCGGTGTTTGCCCCTGCTTGCATACCCTGGCGATGGGGAGCTCACTCACGATATGCTGACCCACTACTCTCTCTGGGAGGCCCTTTTGGAGGAAATTCCTCCTCGGGTCCGGTCCACCCTCTGACCCTGGTGCCTTGCAGTGCTCCAGAGTCCCCAGACCCAGAGTGCACAGACAGGGCAGACGCCGCTTGGGGCACGGGGCCAGCCCACCTTCACAGGCCTCGCCCTGCAGCCCCCCACCCCAGGGCCAGGTGCCCCTCGGAGTCTAGGGGGACGAGGGCTCTGAGCAGGCTTTGGAGCGGGCAGGTGCTGAGAGCTTCTCCAGGTGCTTCCCAGCACAGACAGGAGCTGGTCAGTGTCCTGCTGGCAGCACCTGTGAGGCTGACCCTCTGTCCCCCGCCTTGTCCCAAAGCGGGCACCACACCCCATAACACAGCACCGTGGGTCGAAGCCACCCACACCTTAGCTCAAGTCCCAGGGGGTCACTTCCTGGCTGCGTAACCATAATAAAACAATTTGAAAAGAACAACACCGGCCTCTGGCTACGCAGCGGTTCACCGTGAGTGAACGCACGCTGTGGTGGTCGGGAGAGGTGGCTCCCGGCCAGGCCACGGGGTTCCGCCGCTTCCCGCTGTGGGACCTTGGGTCTCCCTGAGTCTCCGTCACCCTGAAGTGGGGGCACTACCCTACCTACCTTGCAGGGCAGTGGCGAGAAGTAAATGAACTATATGCATGTGGGCTGTGGGCAGCTGAACAAGCAGGGCTGTTCCCTTGCGTATGTGCCTTGTGATTTCTCCCAGACTCCATGCTCATCAGCGCGACCCTGCTCCTCCTTCTCCTGACCTTTTTGCCTCCACCCCCACCACTCCTCAGTGGCCAGTGGTCTGGGCTTGAAGGTCCCCTGGGGTAAAAGCCTAGGGCCCTTACTCTTTGTGTGATCACGTAGCTGCACCTCAGCTTCCTTGGTAGTGGAAGGGGTAACCAAACCTACCTCTGGGCGAAGGGGAGGGTGGGGCCCGGGATGAGATAACGGGGAGCAGCGCCCAGGTCATACCAGGTTCTCCACGGTGCGCAGGTAGCGGGTGCAGTGGCTGTGGCCATTGTAATCTGAGAGGTCGGCCGCCGTGTATCCGTCGCGGTCGCGGACGTCCAGCTCCGCGCCGTTCACTACCAGGATCTGGCAGCACTGCAGGGCCACGCAGTGAGGACCCCCGCCGCTAGCCCGGACCCCGTGCCTGGGCTGCACAGTGCTGGGAGCCCGGCGCCGGAAGAGGGCGCCCGCCCCCCCGCCCAAGGCCCGCCCCTCCCGGCCCCGCCCCGGCCTCGCCGTCACCTCCAGCTCCCCGTTCTCGGCGGCGTCGTGCAGTGGGGTCCCGCCCCACAGGTCGGCCGAGATCTCGCCGCCGTGCAACAGGAGCCAGCTGAGCACTTTGGCGTGGCCGCGGCTCGCCGCAAAGTGCATGGCCGTGGCGCCGTCCTTGTCCCGCTCCGACAGGCTCACGTCTGTGCAGCTCACCTGGGCGGGAGGGGGCGGGGCGAGGGGCGGGGCTGGGCGCCAGGCCCTTCTGGCTCCGCCCCCGTCCCGTGCAGGCCCCGCCTCCTCCCGGGCTCCGCCCCTCCCTGTCTCCGAGCTTACCAGCCACACGATGACCGAGCTGTGGCCCATCTGTGCCGCAGCGTGCAGCGGGGTCATGCCGTCGTGGGCGCTCAGGTGCGGGTCCGCGCCGCACTCCTGCACCAGGTACTGCGTCACCTCCAGGTGGCCCTCCTGGCACGCCAGGTACAAGGGCGTGGCACCGTTCTTGATTTGGGCATTCACTCCCCTGCGAACGGGAAGCACCCAGAGAAGCTCTCAGCGCCTGCCCGCTCCAAAGCCTGCTCAGGGCATTCGCCCCCTTCGGTTCTGGAGGGCTGGCACTGTGGGATGGAGAGCGCATCGCCCCTGGGGCCCGCTGTCCCTGACTCCTTCTGGACTCAGGCTCGTGCCAGCCTCCCGCAGGGGGCCCCCGCTGGCTCGCCCCCGCCCCCAGCAGCCTCCTTTCTATAGTGCACACCTGACTGAGCTTGTGCCGGCGCTCAGTAACTAGTCCACCTTTTCAGCAAGGCCTACCAGGACCTGGAGGCCTGGCCTCCCGCTACCTTTCAGCCACACTGACCCGTACCTGTCGTCTGCGCTCTCTGCTTTGGATCATGTCCCCTCACCCCACCGCCAGCCGGAACGCCCTTCCCTTCTCCGTCTTTGAGACTCAGTGCAGATCCCTCCTCTGGGAAGTCTGCCCTGGGTCCCCCCCACCCTGCCACCCCCCGCCTGGACCCAGGGCAGGCCTCTCTTACCTCTGTGCCCCATACTGCCCTGGGCCCACCCCCTGGACCTCCTGTCGTGCCTGGCTGAATGTAACCGATTCTGGCCCCTGCCTCCCCCCAAAGCTTGAGTCCCCAGAGGGCGGAGAGGCCGGGTGCCAGGTAAAGCACAGAATGTCCATTTAAGTATGAATATCAGATAAACACCCAATCATTTCTAATGTAGAAACATATCTCAAATACCATATAAGGTGGACTTATACGAAAACACCTTAGTGGTTGTCGACCTGCAGCCCTGCAGGTGGCCGCCAGTCCCCGAGCACGGCCAGTGCGCCGCGTGACACCAGGAGCAGGCAGGTTCCCATGGGACGCCCTGACTTAGGTCCTGCTGAAGTTCCCTTTTGCAGAGAGGCCGTTGAGGCTCAGAGGCTGTGACATGCCTAAGGTCACACAGCTGGTAGGTGGCACGTGAGTGCACGTCTGCTTGTGTAATGCAGCACCTGGCACACAGTAGGCACACAAGGAGCCAAGAGAGGGCGCCCCATCTCTTTGCTCCTTGGGGCTTCCCTGGGGCCTAGATTGCATCTGTCACCTCCCTCATCCTTGTTCCCCAGCTCTGACAGGAGGGTCCTAATGGGGACACAGGGCACCAGTCCCTTGAGGGGAAGTGCTTCTGGGGAACAGGGAAGCTGACCCGCCACTGACTGAGCCTCAGTTTCTCTGCGTTCAGTGGGTACACACAGCTCAGGGTGCAGTTACCAGATCTGAGCACTAGGTGGAGCCACAATCTAGCCGAGGCGTTGCCCGTCAACCTCCCTAGTGATTCTAAGCTCTGCTCAGGGGCTGGGTCCTACTGTGCTGACTCAGCCTCTGTGCCCCAGGTAGTGCGATTCTTCCTCCGACTTCACCCATCTATCCCCTCACTTCCTCAGTGACATGCTCCACCCATCTGCCCACGCCCTCCCTCCTTGCCTTGTCCAGTTACCAGCCATTAACGCAGACCCCAGGCTAGCCACTGCTCTTCCATCTGCCCGCTCACTCCCCCTCTTGACACCCCCAACATGACCAGGGGGTGGTCTCAATTCCCTCCCACTACCCTTCCAGCTGACTTCTCCCTGCCCCTAAAACCCTGGCCTCTGTCCACTTCCTCGGCCCCCAGTAGCCCCCACCAAAAAGCCGGTCCCTGCTCCCTGCTTCTTCCTGACAAGGGCTGCCTCCCCGGACACAGAGCTGCCACTGGCCAGGGCCGATGCCGAGTCCAGGGCCTCACACGTTTGGGGAAGAGCAGGAACTGCACCCAGCTGTCCCCCGTTACCCCACCAGTGCCAGGACCAGTGTGGCACCCGCCAGCGGGCAGCGCCGACAGCGCACGCGGCAGACAGAGGCCCACGGACACACCTTGCCTCAGGAGCGCATTGGCGCGGGGCCACTGGCCTCCACGCCCCAGTGCCAGCCTCGCCCCCGCACACACATGCACATGCCGGTGCCTCAGTAACAGCCCCTTTAATATTTCATGACCGACACTCAGTGGCCTGAATTATTCACCCCGTAACCAAGGTACAGTGAGTGCTGGGGTCCTGGGGATTGAAGGCTGGAGGGGGCCACTGCCCAGGGCCCACCGGACTCTCTCTCTCTGGGGATGCCCGAGGCAACATAACCAGGTCGGGGCACCAGGTCTGCCGGGAGCCCTGCCCTCCCAGGCCAGCAGCCCCTGCTTGGCAGGTGTCCATGACCCAGGGGTGCCCGGCAGCCTGAGAAGGCCTGAAAGGTACGAGGAGCTGGCAGAGAGCAGGGCCCAGGCAGGAGGGGGCGGTCGTGCCCACAGCCTCCGGCCGGTCCGCTGGCTGGCCCCTCGGCCGGTCCCCATAGGGAGGAAGTGCTCCGTAGATGCTCAGGCTCCTTGACACTGCTGTTAGCATTTCCGCCTCTGTGCGCACGGGCCCTGCTCTGAAGTCGCAGCTCCAGGCTGGGAGACCCCAGGACACGGGGCAGGTCCGCTGCTGGGCCAGGGCGGGCAAAGGGGTCCTTGTCACCCTCCTCGACCTCAGCCTAGGGGCCAGGAGGGTGGGTGCCCTCTTGATATAAAATCATGGATGGACAGAAGGAAATAAACTCATGAATTTAGGGATGAATTGATAATGGTAGTAATAATACTACTACTAATAATTGATAATAGTGGCAGCAGGTACCATCTATCAAACAATTTCTCTGCTCCAAGGCCTGTGAGGAACATGATTCCCATGTGCTCACCTGGTCCTTGTCAAATGACCTTATGAGGTAGGTAATAGCATTGTTTTCTTTTTATATACGGGGAAACTGAGGTACGGAGAGATAAGATCACTCAATGAGAGAGAGGCACAGGAAGACCTGGGTCTAAGAAGGACCTGGCTGAGCCCCCCAGCCCCCGCCGAGCTGCGCCAAGGTCTTCCTCTTGTGTCTTTGGCTTCTCCAGGCCATCCAGGAGGTGGAGGCAATATTCCGTGGGAGACATACCCAGAGAGGCCTGAGCATCTGCCTGGTACCATGTTGTCTTTTAGGATCCCTCCTCCCGGTGCCTCTGGGTGGGGGCACTGCTGGCCTGGGGTGTCCCGGCCTCACCAAGCAAGCGTCACTGCCCAGAGGAGAGGACCCCGGCCCGGTCCAGCCCGTTGAGCTCCAGCCAGTGCCACCCCCCGGGGGAAAGCGGTCTGCTCACAGCGCCTGCCCCTCGGCCTGGCCTCTGCTCAGCCCCGGACTCTGCAGCGCACTGCACAGGGCCCCGTGAGTTCTCCCTCCTGAGCCTCAGTTTCCTCATGTGACAACTAGGCACGATAATGGTTTGGCCTCTCCATACCTCTTGTGACAGGGCGGAAGAGAGAGCTTTGCAAAGGTGCACGTTTCCTCTGAGGAAAGGGTGCCGCTATCACATCCCCACCTGCTGCCCCCCCGGCCACCCCCTGGGCCAACCACCAGCCCTGGCGGTTTGCCCACCCTCACCTGACCTGGCCGCTCCCTACCAGGTGCCCCCCATACCAGCTCCTCTGGCTTCCTGGGCAGGACTCGCCGGCTTCCTGTGCCGACAGACCCCCAAATGGCGGGGTGCTCTAGGGCCTCTTGTTCTCCCACGGGTGAGGTCCTCTACTTCCCGGGGACAAAGGCCACCTGGACGTGATGCCCGTATCGCCCCAGCTTGGACCTGCAGTGGGCGCCGCGCCCCACCTCCGCCCACCCGTCCATCTGTGCGTGGACTGGGCCTCTTGAACCGCCCGTGTCGCGGTCGCCCTCTCCACGTCTCCCTCAACCCCTCCCCTCCCCTCGCTGTCCCGTCGCTTCCACGTCTGAAATTCCCTAGCAACGATCACATGTATTGTGACTTTTTTCTTCCTCTTGGGGAAAAAAGATGACATGCACACGCCGTACCCATTAAGCAGCCCCCCGCTGAGGGCGCTGAAGGAGCACAGAGGGCTGGGGGGGGGGGCCTGCTGGAAGCGTCCGTCTGGGACTGGCGCCAGCTTGCCGGTCCTGCGGCCACACGGAACTAGTAGCGATCTGCCCCCGGGACGTGATCGGAGGCAGGTCCAACAGTAGGGCCCCAGCGCCCGTCAGTTCTGCCCCGGGAAGGGAGGGCGAAAGGACGAGATCCCGTGGTGGGTGAGGCTGCTCCAGACAGAAGGGCACGTGGCCTTGGGGGGGGTCTCCCTCTCTTGTCCTCCACTCACATCTCCTGGCTTATTTGAAAAGGGCCCACATCAGGGAAGACACGCAGCCTGATTGAGGAAGGTCCTAAAACGGTCATCTTTACACCCGTCATCAGCAAGCCTGGGATGTCTCACAAGGCCCACTCTTCCCTGCAGCTCTGCCAGGCTTCTTGGCGTCCTGGGGTCCCCGATGAGGCCCAGCTTGGGCCCCTCAGGCCTCGCTGCTACCAGCTCTGGCCACCATGCCGCCACGCCGTCAGGCGGGCTCTCAGCACGGCTGGCCCCTTTTCTTGTTCAGGCCTCAGCTTAGCTCTCACCGCCTCCTCAGAGGGGCGTTTGTTAACCCCTCCATCTAAAGAACGCACCCATCCCTTCCTGCCAAACACCGCCACGTCACGAGATAGCACCCGTCCCCCTCAAATCGTGTGGTGCACTTGCTTCATTCACCAGGGACACATCGCGAGGGTGCCTCGCCACCTGCCAGGATGCGCAGAGCAGCGATGGCAGCAAAGGCTGGCCCCTCAGAGGCCGGTTCCACGGGGTCTGCTGGACCGCAAAGCACCACACACGAGCGAGCGAGCGAGCCAGAACTTCTCTGAATGTGGTGCGTGCCCCTGATACGTCTCCTTGTTCATTCCCTGCAAGTCAGCACCGCGAGGCCGCAAGGGCCTGCTACGTCTCTGGCGCTGACCGGGCTGTGCGCTCGGCGTGCGCTCAGCTGCTACTTGTTGAATGAGTGAATGGATGTGGGAGGGAGGTGGGCAGCCAGGCCAGGGGCTCTGTGACGCCTCCACACACAAGGCCCGGCTGCTAAAGCAGGTTAGCTCCATCTGCTGGACGGGCCCAGGGAGGCCCGGGGCGAGTTCTGAGGTCACGTGCAGCGAGCTGCAGGCAGGGCCGGACACAACCTGGGACTCTAGGCTCCTCATTCATTCAACAAAAAGGCATAGAGTCAGGCACTGGGCGCATGGGATGGGGACGACGAGGTTTGCTGTCCTTCGTCGGGGAGACAGAGGGCGGAGATGCACAGACACGCGTGGAATGCAATGCCAGGCGGTGTAAGTAAGTGTGCTGGGGAAACAGGGCAGCAAGGCGGGGAGTCTGCGTGTTGTGGGGCGTGTTACCGTCCGAAAGAGCTCAGGGTGGGCTGTACAGAGAGGGGAGGGGAGCAGAACACAAAGGAGGGAGGAGTTGTGTGGGGAAGAGTCCAAGTGAAGGGAACAGCCAGTGCGAGGGCTGGGGTGCCGGCTGGTCTGCGCAGGCCAGGTGGAGGCGGGGGCGGGGGCCGGCCAGAGTGAGGAGGGCCTTCGGGCCATTGTAAGGAAGCGGCTTCCCTGTTAGTGACGGGGGTGGGGGGACTGCAGCCGGTCCACAGAGGCGGGCTGAGCTGGACCGGAGGAGAGCACGGGCCAGGGCAGAGCCGCTGGAGTCCCCGTGACCCGAGGAGCTTGAGCCAGGAGTTGCTAGTGGAGGTCAAGGCTGTCCCCGCCACCAGGTCCCTCCTTTCTCAGAGCCTCCAGCCAGGTCAGGGTCTCCAGTGCTGGATGTGCCGGCTTGGGCTTGGCCCCAGGCCCTGCTGCCCAGGGGGCCTCAGCAGCCCCCAGGGAGACCTGGGGGTGGTAACAGAGAGTTACTGAGCCCCCACTGCTCTGGCGGAAGCAGACGCTCAGCAGGGAAGGGGCCCGCGGGCTGCAGAGCCTCCAGCCTCCTAAGGGGGCCTCTGCCCTCAGGGGTGAGCCGCTCGGCTTCCTGCTCAAGGCAGGGGGCTGCCCGAACCCCTCCAACTGCGCTATGGATGCAGCCAGGATCCATGAAGCTTGGCGCTAAGAAGGAAAAAGACGTGCCCAGCAAACTTGAAAGGCCCTGAGGGATCGGAGCTTGCAGAGAAGGAGACAGACCCGGAGAAGGAGTGCAGCGTGACTAAGGCCACAGAGCGAAGCTGTGGGACCTCAGCGGGTCAGCTGGCCCCTCTGAGACCCCCTTTCTGTATCTGTCCGCTCCATTAGGCAGGCACATCTGTGTGGTTGACCGCTGAGTCCCTGGCACTTAGCATGTTGCCTAGCACAGTAGTTGAATGAGTGGACCTGGAAGATGGGCCGATCACAGAGCTCCCGCCTCAGGGAGCTGCAAGGCTCAGGCTTCGCTCGGGGCCAGGCTCCTGGGGACACTCGGGAGGTGGGAGCTGTTCCGCGTGTCCCCCGGATCCTGGCCAGGGCACCTCCTAACCTCTGCCCTGGGCCAGGGGAGGGTGGCCTTGGGCAAAGGAGCTTGCGGGGAGCCGGAGGCGATTCCAGTCTTTGGACAGACTGGTTCTCCCGCTGGTTGTGCCCGGCAGAGGCTGGGGTCCAGGGGAGGACGCACCCAGAGCCCCAACCCCAACCCGGGGTCCTGGCAGAGCCTGACGCTTCCCTCTAGCTTCAGAGTGAGCTGAGCATGAGCCTTCAGACCCTTCAGGCGGGTGGGCAGGAGCTCTGGGGGCTGCCGGCTCCTTGCCCATGCTGCTGGCCAGGCGGGACGGCCCTCCCCGCCTGGGGCCTGAGGCAGCCCAGCCAGCTCCTGCCGGCCGTGTGCCTCCCTCTTAGGGAGCGTCTCTCTGCAGAGCGCTCGGAGGAGAGTCCTCCACGGCCGCAGACCCCAGGGTCACTGTGGCAATTCCTGGGCCTCTGGGAGCATTGGCCCAGTGGATAGACTGCAGGGGCAGGGGGCAGGAGGGCGGCTGGCTGCAGGGTGTTGCTGGGATCTCAGGCCCTGGCTGACACCCTGTGGTGCAGCCTGGCGTTACCTGGGCCCTCCCCTGAGCCTGCCCGGCCCTCCTGCTGCTCTGCCGTTTGTTGCTGCCGAGGCCCAAGGCCACCCATAGCCTCCCTGGGCGGGATCGAGTTTCCCACTGGCAGGCCGGGAGCCCTTCCTCCCTCAGCCACCCGCCAGGGAGAGCTGAGCCCTTGTGAATAATTCACAGGCTTCACAGCGGGGCTGAAGCTCACGAGAGCAAGAGAGCGAGAACGGGTGCTGCAGCCTGCGAGCCCAGCCGCCGGGGTCCCCTGACTGTGCCTGCGGCCCAGGGCAGCCCGAGCCTCCCCCTGCCCAGGTCCCTGCCCGGGGTCCTCAGGTTTGGAGAGCAGGAGCCTCTACCCCGAGAGGAGGCAGCCAGGTGGGCACTGGCCCTCACCTCCCCTCTGGGCAATTCCCGCTCCCTCAATTCCCAGCCACCCCTCCTGCCTGAGCCTTATCTGGCAACCGCACAAAAGCACCTCCTTATCAGCCGGGACACACACGCCGCAGGTACAGGAATAGAGCCCGAGCCCTCTGTCCACCTCCCTGAGATTCACGGTGGCCTCTGGGGTCTGGCTGCTCATCAGTCCAGGCCATCTGGCCAGAGTCAGCACCGGCCCAATCACAGCCAGCACCCGGCAGGGCCTGCGAGGGATCAGGGTCCCCAAGGCCCCACGCCGGAGAGGCCACTGCGCGGCACAGCCAGAGCCGCCTTTCCGGGCTTCCTGGCGAGGAGGGGCTCCGTGGCCAGCCGGGGCTCCCTGCTCCCTGCTCTGCCCCAGCTTCTGGTCAGCACGGGCAGGGGACGCTCAGGAGCCTTCCCCAGTCACACGGTTTGGACCGAGTTGGCATCATCACTGGCCGGCTTTTGGGGCCCTTTATGTGAGAGGGTGAGCTGGCGGATGCGGGAGGGTGGCCATAGTCCATCCCTACCCTCTCCAGACCTCTGCGTCCTCTGCCTGAAGCGAGGGGATGGGACAGAAGCCTCGGAGTCGCCTCAGTGGGGGCGGGGTTGGGGGCACGTCACAGGTGCTGGTCCCCAGCCCCAGCCGGAGTCGGAGTCCGGGCCCAGGGCCCTGGGCCGCCGATGGTGCCAGGGCGCATGCCTGTCCTTGAGTGTCTTGGGGCCTCCTACCCTAAATCCTACTGCCTTTGACCCAAACCCTAGCTTGTCTGGAAGCAGAGAATTCACATGAAAGTGGTACCACGTGGCCCCTGGCAGGGTGGCTATGAGGAGGACCCCTGGTCCCGGGGGGGTTCACCTGCTGGTGTCCCAGTGACCAAACCAGGGAGCCCCTCACTCAGCGAGAGGACGGCAGCCTGGCCTGGGGGTCTCAGGGCTGCCTGACACCCCCGCCAAGGGGCCTGGGCCCAGCAGGCCGCCGGCCGCAGCCACCTGGCCACGAGGCCATGGGGCTGGGTGGCCTCCTGCCGGCTCCCTGGTGGCCAGTGGCCCCATGGGGGCCGTGGACGGAGCCTCTCGCCTGGTGGCTGCTATACTTAGGCCGGGCCCCCGGTCACCACGTGTGTCCCGGGAACCCACTGTACTGATGAGGTCAGGGTCGGAGCCCCCTCTGCCGGGTCCCAGCGGCCGTTGGGGCCCCGCTCCCCCAGGATGCCCGTCGCGCCGCAGCTGCACCCGAGACCTGGCTTCCTCCTCCCCCAGGAGCCCCCAGACCCCCTGTTGTGCGCTGGGCCCCTTCTTCCACATGCCCCATCCCACCCTGGGGCACCCCCCGCCCACTGCTCAGCTGCTTTCTCAGCCCAGCCGCGCGGGCCCCTGGGGGTTTGGCAGCCCCACCACCTTGGTAGTGGGAATGGGCTGAGGGGCCACAGGAAATGACACGCTGCTCTGTGGACGGCCTGACTAGAGAGTGAGGGGCTGAGTGGGCGACCCCGTCCCTCCACTTCCGGCCACGCCCCTCCCCCGTCGCCTTCCTGACCGGGGGTCTCGGAGAGGCTCTCGTTGCTTCACCCCCATTTAGAGCAGCCTTGCCAATGAGCTCAGGCCAGAGCTGGAGGGAGCCCCCCGTGCAGGCTGGTGAGCACCCTGGCGGGGAGCAAGTGACCTTGGCCTGGGTGTCTGGCCTCCCAGGGGCAGCCACGAGCTGGGGGCCGTTTGCTGGCAGGGCTCAGGGGCCAGTGGCAGTGGCAGCCTGCCAGGCGGGGAGGGTTCTCAGCTTGGGGGGGCAATCGCAGGCCCCAGGGGTGGTCACTCCCCGGGAATGCTGGAGGGACACGGCAGACTGCCAGCACCCCCAGAGCCCTGGCCGGCCCCGCCCAGGGGCCCCGCGGAGCAGTGTCCTTACTCGGGGTGGTGCCTGATGAGAAGCCTCAGGGAGGGGAAGTCTCCTTTGGCGGCAGCATAGTGGAGGGGCAGGGCGCCCGTGTCTGTGGCTGCGGTGGGGTCCCCACCGCCGTGACGCAGCAGCCAGTCCACCACCTCAGGGTGGCCGAAGCGGGCAGCCAAGTGCAGGACTGTGGCACCAGAATTGTCTTTGTCCTGTGGAAGGAGAGCCCGTTAGTCCTGAAGTCTTGTCCTGCCCCCCCCCCACGGGGGCAGCTCTGTCCACGGACTTCAGCTCCTGAGTGGCACCCGCGGCGGGCTTTCGGAGAATGGCGGCCCATGACTGTGACATGCCTGCACGGAGCAGGCTTCCAGGCTGTGGCGCCCTGCTCGTCCCAGCAGGGACGGCAGCATCCGGCCGCGAGCCTCGCCGGTCACCCGAGCACTTAGGGAGCACCTGGGTGGGAGGGCGGGAGGTGCTGGGCCGGAAGGGTGGGCTGCGGGGGCTGCGCCAGGCTGGCGTCAGGACTGTGGGGGTACCCTCTGTACCCCAACCTTGCCCCCTCCCTCCACCCCTCCCCAGGTGTCCCATGGGAAGGGGTCTCCAGATTGGTGCGCCTGCAACAACCCGATCTTGGTACAGAGAACTGCCCCACCCCCCACCGACGCCCCGCTCCCAGCGAGGAAAACAGGCTGCCCTCGTGCCCAGTGTCCTGGCCTGTGGGGCAGGAAGCCGGCCTCGGCAGTCAGCCTGCGGCAGCAGGGGGCTAGAAGCAGCCTCTGGGAGAGGCTTAGGCAAGACCCCCACCCAGGCACCCTGGAGGGAGTGGGGCGATGGCCTGTGAAGTACCCAGCATGTCACCGTGAATATCCAGGTGGGCGTGTCTGCTGTGGGAGGGGGTTGGTGGCTGCTGCTTACGTGACCTGGGTGAGGAGGCCATGCACCGAGAACCCAGAAGTCTGGGCTCAGAGGCCAGCTGGCCAGCTTGGGAGAGTGGGCATGGCGTTCAGAGCAGACCAAGCTCCCAGTGCCAAGCACGTGGGACGATGGAGGCGAGCAGGGAGCTGGGCCCAGGCAGGAGTGAGGGCCGGGCACGGTTTGCTGGAATCAGGGAGGGAGGTCCCAGAGTGGGCACAGTGGGGACAGGCGTGGCCGGGGCTGCTGGAGCAGAGCCACTGAGGCTCCTGGAGAAAAGTGCAGGGAAAGGAGGGGATGGGGGGACGGAGCCCAGGGGACTGGGCTGGCTAGAGGTGACCCAGACAGGACAATGGCGAAGTATGCACTGAGCACGGCTCTTGAGGAAGGCTCTCAATTCTGGCCTTGGGGACAGGGGGTCTGCAGCTCCAGGGACCCTGCTGGCTCTGGCGTCTGGGTGGGGGTGGCAGTGAGCAGAGGACCCCGGGCCTGCAGGCTCCGGCCTGTCCTCAAAGCACCAACAGCTACGCAGGCCCCAGGGGCCTCATGTGCTGTGGCCCGCACCCTAAATCTGCTTCTCTCTCCAGGCGGAGCGGGTCTGGATCGAGGTCTTCCTCCCCCGACACACTCTTCCATCCCCAACACCCAAGCCTGCGGGGGCCTGAGGGCAGGAGACTTGATAAACTGGGCACAAGGCCACCTGCCCTTCCGCCTCCTCTGCAGCAGTGAGGGAGGCTTCCGGCCAAAGCTGGACACCGGGATGAGGGAGGCGCGCTGCCTCCCAAGAGTGGGCAGGGACCACGTGCCAGGAACTCTGATACAGGGCCATCCGGGAGATAAGGGGCCAGGCCCTCTCCCAGGAAGGGTGGAGGAGGGGCCTTGCCACCCTGAGGGCAGTGGGGGCAGGGGTCTGGCCACCTTCAGGGTGCAGCCAGGCAGTTCAGTCGCGCCTGCCTCTTGCACAATCAGGGAACCCAGTGGTCTCACTAAGTGGCCCGATTCCTTCCCCCACTGTCTTTCCCCAAAGACCAGAACTTCTCCCAAGTTCCTAACTCCAGCCCCCGAGGCCCTCTGGGACAGGGCCCTGCTGGCTTTTCCCACCCTCAGCCCAAACACTCTCCTTGCGGCTCCCTCCGCAGGACCGGAACATGTGTGCCCCGGAGCTTTGCACTCCGTGTTCCTGGTGCTCAGAGAGGTCTGACCACTGGATGCCACTTCCTTCTCATCAGCCGGGACCCGCCTTGGAGGTCAGTCCCCAGAGGGGCCTTTCCTGGCCACCTCGCCCAAGCAGCTCCCTGATGTTCCCCGTTGCTTGGCCCTGCTGTACCTGATGGTGCCCGGTTTACTTTTTACCCTGTGAGTTTGCTGCCTTGTGCACCAAAGACCTGGGAGCCAGGAGGGCAGGCACGCCCCTGAGTCCCCAGGCGTGGTGCCTGTCGGGCATGCTGTTTCCAACAGGAGAGTCTCACATCAGGGCTGTGGCGGGGCCAGGCCTCCAGCGGCCTGGTGCCACTGAGACCAGGCGGGGCCCCGTGGCAGGAAGACTCAGGCCGAGCTGGGGAAGCAGCTTGGATCTGGGAGGCCAGAAGGGGTCAGCCCAGGTCCTGGGGAGACCCCCGTTGACCAGGCCCACCCCCATTTCCGCTTGCCTTACCTAGCCTCAGGGGCACCACACCCCCACCGGGGGGGGGGGGCTGTAAGACTATGCCCAGCCCCTCCAGGCCCGATTCTGGAAGACATGGGCTTCTGATCCCTGTCCAGGCCCTCAGCGCCTGGCACACTCTCTGGGTCTTGCTGGCTCGGGGCTTCGCCCCCTACTCCCAGGCTGAATACTAGTCTGGTTGAGCCCAGTCCCCTTCTGTTTCTCCAACACCGTGGCGCTTGCCTAGGCAGCAGCCAGGACTTAAGCCGGCACCTGCCCAGGTACTTACTCTAAACCCAGGAGCCCACCTCACCCAGGTCCTCTGGAAGAAGCTCCAAAGCAGGTTCAGTTGAGAGGTGCCCAACCCCACCCACTTCTGAGCCTGGGGGGCTCCAGGCCAGCACTCTGTCCCGGGGAGGAAGCCTTTGGGCGGCCAGGGAGGGACAAGGACCTACCTGCACTCCGCAGCCGCCCTGTGAGAGCAGCCACTGCAGGCAGGCCAGGTGACCGGTGGCAGCGGCGTCGTGGGCCGGGGTCGCGCCGTTCCGCGCTCGGGCGGTAGCAGGCAGGGCAGCCTTCTCCGCCAGGAAGCGCAGGCAGTGCAGCTTGCCGGCGCGAGCTGCGTGGTGCACCGGCAGCGCGTCCAGCGGGTCGCGCAGCCAGGGCCCCAGCTGGCCGGCCGCGAGCAGGGACTCCAGCACGGCCAGCTCGCCCTGCCGCGCCGCCTGCAGCGCCTGCTCCAGGGCCATCGTGCCGCCCGCGGCGTCGCGCCCCGCGCTCAGCGCGCTCCCCCAGGCGCCATGCGCCTGGCCGGACACCGGGAGGCCCGCGGCGCGGCCGTCGGGGCCCCGCGGGTTGGGAGGCGGAGCGGCTGCCGGCTCGGCCTCTGCTCCGCGCTGCCCAGCTCGCTCCGCTCCGCCTCCGCTGCGCTCTGGGCCCCGGTCCCCGTGGCACGGGACTTAAGCCTCGGCCCGCCCCCCGCGCCACCTCCGTCCCGCCCAGCCCGCCCTGCGCCCCGCCCCGCGGGCTGGAGAGCCTTGCCTGGGAGACAGGTGGCCAGGGACTTCACTCCTGAAGGTCCATCTGAGGAAGTGTCCCGGGCTGAGTTTTGAGTGGTCAAAGGGGTGTTCCAGTCACGGGGGCGCAAGGGCAGAGGCCCAAGGCATGAGCAGGCGTGAGTCCCAGGGGCTCTGGGTCTAGGCCCCCGTGGGTGCAAGGGGGGCTGGGCCCTCGGCCCCCTGGCCCCACCAGACAGCAAGGACTGCTCTCTGAGACCCCAGCAGGGAGGGAGGGAGAGAAGGATTCTGGGTCTCGAGGGACAGGCTCAGGGGACACCCGCAGCTGCTGTCTGGGCGGGGGGCGGGGGGAGTGCTAAGGGTGAGCTTGAGGGGCTGGGGTCGTCAAATGGAGAGAAGGAAAAGCAGGGATGTGCCGGCTGACAGCAGCGGGCAGGCTCGCCAGAGCAGCTCCCAGGAAAGCGGGGCCGGGGCCCCTCACAGGGGGAATGGGAAGGCTCCGGGGGGCAGGTGAGCAGGAGGAGAGCGCACGTGGACTGGACCATCCCGCCTGCTGGCCAGAGCCATCGCTGGGGACTGGAGGGCGGCGCTGCGGGCTGCGCCCGGGAAGAGCTGCGGGCGGGGCGGCGGACACTGCGTGGCTGTGGGAGCACAGCAGCACATCCTGTGACTTTGAAACAGTCTGTGCCCTGCCTTTACCTACTCCCCCACCTCTCGCTGGAGCCCCAGCAGGGCCTGGCCTTGGGCTATTGCACCCGGCACCTCGCCAGCTGGCATAGGGCAGCCGGAAACGTGTGGTGAAGCTGCTTCCAGCACAGCGGGAGACCCAGTGTGGGATTCTGCGGCGGCCACGGATGCCGTTCCCGGGGGCCTCCACCTGGTGGCGCTGTACGCGATGGCCCTTGGAGCTCCAAGGTGCGCGGCACACCAGAGCAGCTGGACTGGTGCGCTCGGGTGTGTTACGGCGGGGGTGGGGGTGGGGGTGGGGCTTCCAGTGACTTCTACCTGGCCAGACCAGCCTTACTCCCTCCGTGGGAACTGTGGCCACTCTGGTTGCTGACAAGGGGAGGGAGGAGCCTTATCCTGGTAACCTCTGTGTTTTGTGATTCTTGATGTCTCCCTGCAGCTGCCCTTCCCCAGAGGCAGGCACAGCCTGAGGTGGCAGGGGAGCTGTGGGACAAAGAGCTGCAACGGCTTGTCTGGGGGCCCCTCCCTGTGCCTCCTCCATGGCTAAAGTCACCTCCTGCAATTCGTGTCCTCTCCTCCCCAGGTGGCCCCCCTGGCCCTGGGCACCTTCATCTATCACGTGATTCTGTCATTTTAGGAGCCATGTCCAGGGGACGGGCGGCTGCTGTGGCGTTTGCCAAAGCAAGAGCCCCTGATCCCCTCCCCTGCCACGAGGGACCTCTCCATAAAAGCCACGTGTGGGCGGCCATCCCTGCTGATCACCTTCTCGGGCCCCTCAAAGGCCGCCACTCAGACCTGGGCTGAGACCCAGGCCTTCTCTGTCCTCTCTGGGCGCCTGCGGCTCCACGGGGCCCTCCCCAGCGGCCCGCACCTGCCAGGACACGCTCCCCTGCACCTGACCTTCCCCCACCCATTGCACCCCCCCCCGCCTTCCACCCTCCAGGTGTCAGCTTAGGGAGCCCCCCTGAGGCCTCCTCTCTGTCCTCTGCTGGGCTCAGGCCAACGGTTGTCCCTCGGGAGCCGGGACCGGGCGGAGTGGGTCTGCACGGCACCCTCGGTGGCTCTGGCTGCCCCAAAGCCCGGACTCGCACGCCCTGCACACTCGGTCGACTTCCCTACGCCCCCCAGGTTAGAAATGACCCTTCCCCCAGGGAACCAGCGAACCCGCGGATCCTTCGGAGGAAGGCAAAGGGGCGCTGCCTGGCCACAGTCCTTCACAGCAACAGAGGGCGGAGGGGAGACAAAAAAATCTGGGGTAACTGGCACTGAAAAGGGAGTTTACCGCCCCAACCCAGGTCTTCAAATGGTGGTCCACAGGCATGGAGGGGATGTTCTAGGAGGAACCTTCCTCCCCAGCCCCTTCTCCCAGGGCAAGTACAGGGGGCTCCCAGCAAGGATGTAGAGGCTGGTGCAGGGCAGGCTTGTGGGCACAGGACTGAGTGAGCCAGTGTGGCTGGGGCGGGGTGAGGTGACATGTGGGACATCGGCGCGTGATCCACGCAGTTCATAGTCCTTTTCTGAGCCCTCATAGGCACCCAGGCTCCATGATGCAAGGCGACAGGGGCTAGGCACCCCCAGGCTCCGTGGGGCCAAGGGTCTGGTATAATTTACTCCCAATGGCGAGGGCTGTGATGGGGGTGAATGGGAGTGAGAGCCAAAAAGCGCTTGGCCCCGCGCTTGGCACGCAGTCTGTGCTCCAAAAGTGGCCGCTCTGCGTGCCAGGCAGGGACTGGCGGCCCGCGTTCCCTCTCACCAGGCTGGTTTCCTTCCTTTCTTAAAGATTTTATTTATTTATTTTTAGAGAGAGGGGAAAGGAGAGAGAAGAGGGAGAGAAACATCCGACGTGTGAGAGGCACGTCGATCGGTTGCCTCTCGCGCGCCCCCAACTGGGGACCTGGTCCACAGCCCAGGCTCGTGTCAAGACCGGGAATCCGACCAGCGACCTTTCGGTTCGCAGGCCGGCGCTCAGTCCACTGACCGCTCCAGCCAGAGCTCGCCCAGGCTGGCTTTCTGAGGGGCGCGCTGGTCTCGAGTCCTGCTGGGGGAGCGCGCGGCAGAGGACTTGGGGCGAGCGGCGGGGGTGCAGCCCGGGACGTGGCTTGGCGGGGCGAGAGGGCGGGCACGCATGTCCAGCACCATGGACAGCGTCTGTGCTGACTCGGCTCCAGGGTGCTTCCTCCGCGCCTAGCTGGTGGGGCCACCCTCCTCCCGCTGCGGGTCGGCCAGGCGGTCCGGACCGCCAGGGTGGCCGTTGACCCACCAGCCGGTTGGGGGCAGGCGGCCCCGAACAGATGGGCGGGGGACGCCCAGCTAGTTTGCTTGCAGCAACCGCCACGCGGCGAGGAGGCGGACCCGGCGGCCGCTGGGGCCGAAGCCCGCAGCCGCGCGCCCGCACCCAGCACCGCCCCGCCCCGCCCCGCACGTCACGTGAACTCCGCTGGTCCCGCGGGTGGGAACGGAGCTGGTGCCAGTTGAAATGAAAATGAGCTCCGAGGGCCCCTAGGTTGCCTGGGCCTCAGTTTCCCCATTCCAAACCGAGGGTGGGGAACCAGAAGACCTCTAACTCGGAGAGCCACCGGAAGGTCCCCTGGAGCTCTCAGAGCCCCGCCGGGCAGGCCGGCGACAGGGGCCTCCTGCTGCTTCGGCCACTTCCCAGCGGTCAGGGCACGGGCAAGCTGAGACCTCCCTCGGGTCCCTCTGCTTCCTGCTCAGGCTCAGGCTCTCAGTCCGCAGCGCGACGGGTGGGGCGAGCCCCTCCGGGTGGTAGAAACCCAGGCCTTGGGGGTCCTGCGGCCACCGCGTCCCCAGCCCGAAGCTAGGCTCGGAGGAGGGGCCCAGACGGCGTGAAAGAAGAGGGCGGTGCCGGACGCCGAGGGAGCCGCCCGTGCCCCTCCTGCTGGCCGGCTCGGGGCAGCTCTGGTTGCGACGGCGCCCACACAGCCCTGCAGGTGCTGGGGGGCGCCCCAGGCTCGCGACCCCGCCGCCGAAGGGACGCTCAGGGCTGAGGCGAGACCCACCCCCACGCCCTCCTCCCTCCTCCTCCCTCTCCGGCAGGAACAAAAGCGGGAGGTGGGACCCGCAAGCGACCTGACTCCGCGGGGCGGGCCGGGGCGGGGCGGGAGACACCGCCTCCTTAAAGCCCGGCCGCGGCGCGGCGCTCGGCACTGGCGCCGGCCTCGCCTGCGCACCCCGAGCACCTCCCTCCGGGTCTAGGCCTCCGCTCCGCGTCGGGGCTCGCGCAGGTCTCCCACGCGCCGGGCCCGTATTGGCGCCGCCTGTCCGTCGAGCATGGGGCTGCCTCGGAGGGCGGGGAATTCGGCGGAGATGCGTAAGGTAAGAGCCGGGGACCGGGGACCGGGGACCGGGGACTGGGCCTGGGGGCGAAGACCGTGACCCGCGTAACCGCGCCTCTGCGCCCGCTCGCAGAGCCTGAAGCCTCTGTTGGAGAAACGCCGCCGCGCGCGCATCAACGAGAGTCTGAGACAGCTCAAGGGGATCATTCTGCCGCTGCTGGGCAGGGAGGTGAGCGCCGGGCCCGGGGGCGCAGCGGTGGGAGTCCTGGGCGCGGAGCGAGGAGGGAGGGAGGGCCCCCTAAAGGGGTGCGGAGGCTCCGCGCGGGGCCCAAGGCCGAGCCCGGGTGGGGCTGGCATAGGGGAGCCCACCCTCCGCAGTCCACGGTGCGCGCGGCCCCCCGCTCCTGGCGAGAGCTCGGTGCGCAGTCAGCCTGCCGGAGATCTGTCATGATTGCCCGTTTCTCTGTCATTCTCCCTGGTGGCCTGTCGCAGAGCTCCAGCGACTCGAAGCTGGAGAAGGCGGACATCCTGGAAATGACCGTGCGCTTCCTGCAGGAGCTGCCCGCGTCCTTCTGCCTGGAGGCGGCGCCCAGTGAGTGACCCCGCCCCAGCCCTGCGCCTGGCGCCAGCCTCACCCGAGCCTCGGTCCGAGCCTCACGCGCCTCTCTGCCCGCAGCGCCCTCCGACAGCTACCGCGAGGGCTACCGTGCCTGCCTGGCGCGCCTGACCCGCGTGCTGCCCGCCTGCCGCGTCCTGGAGCCGGTCCTGAGCGCTCGCCTGCTGGAGCACCTGCGGCGGAGGGCTGCCGGCGCCACCCCCGACGGCGGGAGTGCTGCGGCCGCCTGCGGCCCGCCCTCGCCCTGTTCGCCGCCGGCCCCCGGGCCCTTGCCGCCTGCGCCTCCCCGCGGCCCCAGCTTCTGGCGGCCCTGGTAGCCCCTGGCCTGTCCACGGTCCTGCTAACTGCCCCTGGGGACTGAGGAAACTCTTGGTGACAACTGCCATTCCCACGCAGGGATCAGCCCAGCACCCGCAGCCGGACCCATGGTGCAGATATTTGTGACCAGCGTGGCAGACTGAAGCCCAGGGAAACCCAGCTGGAGGAAATAAGGGGAGAGGCCCTGCCTCACCCACCCACTTGAGGGTGTCTGGGCTGGAGGGGGGCAGGTGGCTTCAGGGGTAGCACGAAGCTCCCCAACCCCACTGGTGGACATGACTCTAGGCCTGGGCCAGTTCCAGCCGCCAGGCAGCCAACACACCTGTCCCAGCACTGGCGCCGGCCCCGGGGTGGGCCGGGAGCTCACCCAAGCCAGGTGCAGGCACCTCCTGCGACTGGTCACTGCCCTACTGGCCCTTCTCGGGCCTGCCTCCTCGCCAGCTCTGCGTGGGACGCTCTGGACGGACAGCAGCAACGAGCCGGGCTCTGCAGGCCAGGGGGCCGCCGCTGCCACTCCTGGGCCCTGCTGCCCAAACCCTCCCGTCAGGACGGCCCGTGGGTGAGCCAGGGCCCCGAGCTGTCGGGCCGGAGGCTTCGCTAGGCGGCGTGGGGAGGGCTTCTCTTCCTGAGTGTTAATGGAACCTGGCTTACGTGCCAGGTGCGAGGAAGGGGCGGGAGAGGAACCAGGGCGCCCAGTACAGGGGCCGTGCCCGTGGAAGGTGAGCAGGGCCGATGCCACGGAGCAGCAGAGATTCAAGGGGTAACAGCAGGTTAAGGACCAGGAAACACCTTTCCTTGTTTTCTCCTGCAAACTGCTCCCTGCTGCTCTTCAGGATGGGTTGCTAGATGCAACTTGTAAGTTTTTTTGTGTTTTTTTTTTCTCACTTTTAAAAACTTGAATCTTTATTGTATTTTTTTTCCCATTGCCGTTTAGCTCCCTTCCCCCCCCGCCCCCCAGCAATCAGCACAGCAACTTGTTCTTGAGACTTTTCTTCCTTCCTGTGGAAGTGAGAAGAGCCTGTGAAGGCTCAGGCAGGGGCCGCGCCTCCCAGGAGTGGGTGCCCAAGACAGGGCGCAAGCCCCATTGCCGGTTGTGTGCCCGCCATTTCATGAGGACTCACTGAGCACCCTCGAGAAGGTGGCAGTCCTCCCCGCAGGGCCTCGTCCGACAGCCTGGCCCGGGCCCGGGGCCCTGGGGTCATGAGGACAGAGCATATGGCGGGGGTGGAGGTGGTCACTAGACCCCTGCTGACCTCGGCGCTGATTTGGATGGCACGACATGGGAAGCTGCGGGTGTCACTGAAGCAGGCACTGCTAAGACAACAGGGTAAGCCCCCAGCAAGTGTCCTGTCCCACCCCCCTCTCGGGGCGCAGCTGGATGGACTGCAGGCTCCCAGAGGGCAGGGCTGGGACAGAGTGCACCGCTGTCCCCAGGGCACCAGGCGCACAGTGGATGCTCAATAAACACGGTGGACTAAGGAACAGTGATGTGACCAGACCGTGATGTACCGAACCCGGCACAGCCTGGACTCCCACCCTGGCGCCCTGCCATCCCTTTGAATAGCCACTCCAGCAGGCCTGTGCCCCCAGGGGCAAAGGCGGGGGAGGGCGTGGAGGCCAGGGAGGGCAGTTCCTACTGACTCTGGCCTGTCCCTGGGACTGCCCGTGGGCTGGGGACTGCACTGCTGAGCTGCCTGAACAAGGCGGGAGGAGAGGCAGGCGACCCAGAAGCCCACGCCCCCATGTGAGCTGGAGTTCCCTCCTGGGGTCCAGCAATGCACACCCAGCATGCGCCGCCCTGGCTCTTTGTCCCTGTGGGAGCTTTCAGGAGAGGTTTAAACTCTGTAAGAACAGACCGTCGAGAGAGCCCCAGCCTCCTTCCGGCCAGCTCTGCCAATTCTTGCTGCCGAATCCTGTCTGGGCTCCTGGCTCTGCACTCTCAGTGACCTGACCTCAGCCAAGCTCCATGCAAGCACCAGGGAGGGGACGTGCAGAGGGGCCGGTGACTCACAGGGTTGGGCCTGCCTTCCGGGGCACCTGAGCTGCAGCCTGCCGGCTCTGGCAGGAAGCTGGGGGAGGCCCAGATGGGGGAGGCCCTGGGCCCCAGGCAAGAAGCCAGCTTCCCAGCAGGGATGCGCAAGAGCTGCCCAGAAGGCTGACACTGGGACTGGGCTTGTGAAATAGGGCCGGCCGACCGCCTCTCCGCAGGGCGCCGCTGACACCCTCTGCCCCCGGCAGCTCCCTGGCATTCCCAGAGCTCTCCCTGCCGCCCAAGGTGAGCACTGGGCGGCAGGCTTTCCCTGTGTGGGAGGGAGGCTGCCCCACCCGGAGCGTTTCTGACATCAATAAAGCCGATGCCAGGTCCCAGGGCCCATTCCTGGGATGTCCTTTCTGGGACGGCCCCATGACTGACTCCCTTTGTCTGGTTATCACGCTTGATTGGAGGCAAGGGCCCCATGTTCCTCACAAACCAGTGGGGAAAATGACTCAGTGACCCAGGGCGAGTGCAGCCCTGAGCTGTCTGGCAGACTCGGCTGGAGCCCCCCTGCCTGTCTGCCTGGCGGCAGCAGCTAATTCAGAGAGGTCACATCTCGTTTTTTCAGGCACGAGGACAAAGAGCAGGTTGCCAAGGAGACCGCTAATAAACATTTACAAACTGCTGGGCTCTGCTTGGCCCTGCGAAGCCTGGACTCAGCGGCTGAGTCTCCCACTGGCTCATCGGGAACAGGGAGCGGAACGAACACAGCCTGGGAAAGCCTGGGGCTCCGCAGAGCCCTCCGCATCCCGCTGCAGCATGGCCACTCTGGAGCCTGTGTCGGGACAGAGGGGCCCTTCCCCATGGTGGGCAGTAACCTCCTGGACCAAACATCAAGGCCAGGCTTCCTTTTAAAAAATGCGCCTGGTTGCTCCAGCCAGTCCGGAGAAGAACCAACCCACCCAGCCGTGTTGTTTCCTTGGCTTTACTTCTTGTCTGAGCCCCTTACAGGGGCGCTCTGCCTCTGGGGTGCCGGTGTCTCTGTGTATCCAGGTGGCTGCCCTGTAGAGAGCATCCCAAGCACACAGTGTGGGGGAGAAGGCACTAGCTATGTAGGGTTGCCAGGGAGCAACTAGTTTCGCTCTGGGTTTTGAGAAGCCTTGGCAAAGCCCCAGTCGCTTAAAACAGCTGCGACAAATCTTTGACAGGTTTCTGGAGTGTGAGAAAGGCACCGGGGGAAACACCCTGTGTGACCGTGTGGTGTCGTGTTCCCCTGGATCCGCTGGGGGGCAGCAGAGAGCGGGCCAGGTGGCTGTCCTCGGGATCACACTTGGGAAAGAAGGTGTTCCCTGGCCTGGCAGCCGAGGAGGGGAGTCCAAGCTGAGTATGTGCCCGGGGGGTACTGGTCTTGGCAGTGCTCGTTCTGTTCCAGATGGTGGGCCCTAGAGCCACCCGTGTTGGTGTTTAGTATGTTCAAAGCCTGAGGGAGCCCTGACAGACGGGCTCAGTTGGTTCTGTTGATTCTGATCAGGTTGCCTGGGTTCTGGGGTCGGGGTGTGTATGAGAGGTAACCAATCGGCAATTCTCTCTCTCTTTCTCCCTCCCCCTCCCTAAAAAAATAATAATAATACATGACAAGATAGCTGAAAGAAAATAAACCTAAGGGAGCCCAGGACAAAGTCCTTAAAGAGCAAGGAATCATTCTAGACCCCAGAGATCAGAGGCAGGTCCAGGTTTTGCGGGGACTACATTTTCAGGCCCTCTGTAAGAAAATGAATATAAAATTTTAGATAGAGATGTAGTAGGAGGATGAATACTTATTCAGAACAGAAGTGTAAGTCACATCAAACCAGGGGTGTTTGCAGCGGGCGTCCTGTCCTGGGTTCCCTTGAGGCCGTTTACCAGGCCGGCTGACGCCGAAACGCTTCCTGGTGACTACCGGCTGCCCCTCGGCTCCCAGAACACTCGGCCGCTCTCCGCCAGCGGCCTCAAGCTTAAGCCTCATCAGCCTCCTGGCAAACCCACCTGCCCAGGAGGGACCCTGAATCTGCTCGAATGGCAGATAAATGCCTCCCATTTCAAGCTACATTACAAGCTACACATGAGCAGATATATATTTACGCGTGGACTTCATTTTCGGCAACTTTCCCCCTTCACACTTACGTGGGACGCTTGTGACACGCACGTCACTAGGTCCTGCCTCCAGGGGTTCTGGCTCCCCCGGCTGCTTCAGTGCCTCGTCCCACGCACCTCAGGCCAGGTTACGCTGCTGCTGCTCTGGCAGAGCCCCCGTGTCTGAGAGCGATGGGTGCGGAAGGGCAGAGTGGAGTGGGGAGTTAGTGTTCAACGGGGCAGAGTTCCGTTTTTGCGAGATAAAAAGGTCCAGGAGATGGGCAGTGATGATGGTTGCACAACAACGTGAATGCGCTTCACGCCCCTGAACTGGCCCTTAAAAAGGGCTTGGATGGAGCCCTGGCTGGTGTGGCTCCATGGAGTGAGCGCCGGCCTGTGAACTAACGGGTCGCTGGTTCGATCCCCAGTCAGGGCACAGGCCTGGGTGGCGGGCCAGGTCCCCCGTTGGGGGTGGGAGAGAGGCAACTGATTAATGTTTCGTTCCCTCTCTATCTCCCTTCCCCTCTCTCTAAAAATAAATCAGGGTTTTTTTTTAAGAGGTAAATCTTATGTTTCTGCGTATTTACCACCCCGAATGTAAGAAAGTAGACGCCACGTCTGCAGTGGGGCTGCTGTATGCTGGTGTGCACTGCAGGCTGTCCCCTGGGGCCATCTGGCTTTCACAGGGACTGGCCTGTCAATGAGATGAGGCTGTGACGTGTCCTTTGGGTCTGTCAGCAGCCGCCTCCGTTTTCACTGCGCTGGGGGTCCAGGCTGTTTGACTTGCTGTCTTGGTGGGCGTCAGTATCAAAGTTGACACTTTAAAAAAAAGCGATTTGAAACTTCAGGCCAAGATCGAGGCATAGGTAGATACACATTGCCTCCTCACACAACCAAAAGAAGGATAACAAC